AGGCGCGGCGGGCGTTGGCGCGCGGGCAATTCCGGCGGGCATGACGCGGGCAGGCGCGGCGGGCGTGAGGCGGGCAGGCGCGGCGGGCGACGCGGCTTCAGCGGAAGCCGCGTCCGACGAGCTGACCGTGGAGAGACGACTGGGGACGGCCACAAACTGCCGCGACGCCGACGACAGGGCACCCGGCTCTGGACGGGTGCCACTGGTGGACAGGCGTGCGGGATGAGTAGCGACCGACGACGACACGCGAGCTTTCCCCTTCCCCTCGACGTGCAGGGAAGGAGTGGCTGGTGACGGGGGGTCGGGGAACGATGTAGAGCTATGATGCATGCCGGTAGATGAGACGATAGCAGGGGAGGCAAAGGGGTTGCTCCAGGAGAGGGTATAGGCGGGATTATTGGCGGGGGTGGCGCGTGGGGGTATCGCGGTGGAGGAGGGAGCGCAAGGCATAGTGGAAGGAGCCGAAGTCGGGTAAAGGGAACGATATGGATTGGTAGAGGAAGGTCCATATCTGGCAGAAGGAGGAAGAGGAGCGCTAGTAAAGGGGGAGTCGTCGTCGGGGCTGCTAGCGCGCGAGGAGTAGTATGTTCCGGAGTTCGAATCAGGTTCCGTCCTCCCGTCCTCCTTTTCGTCAAGAGATCGCTCTTGACGCTGAGCAGGAGCACCGGGGACGAGAGAGGGTTCAGGTAGGATGGAAGGAAGGTGGGCGTTCAGGAAAGAGGAGTCGGGCGACACGTTGTCCCAGTATCGGCGATCGCCGGGGTCGTTCGCGCTACTGTCCGCCCGGTCAGAACCTTAAACAACAACCATCAATATCATTTCCATATTGGGGCACCAGACCGTACTCACCGCGACTCTCTTGTCGCAGGCTGTTCGGACCTGACGGGGGCGCAAAGCCAGTACAGCGGCGACCTGAGGACATCGGGTGAGGACAATGGCTCTACAAATCATGAAAATGTACTTACGCTCGTCTTCTGCAGCCAGACGCTGGAGCATGTCGGCCAACTCGGCGAGGGTGTAACGGGGGGTCGTGTCGTCAGACACGACCCCGCGCTCCTTTGGAGGGACGTAATGCGCCATGCCGGGTGAAGACGAGCGAGCGATGAGTGACTGGGAACTCGGGTGGGAAGAGGAGATGGGGGGCAAGGACGCGGTACGAGCTACTTTATATCTTGGCGGAAGTCTCGAGCGGCTGTCGGGCATGCACTGACAGCGTAAGGCCGGACCTTCAAGGCATCAAGGCCCCGAGTTTCTACGTGGAGAGCAGTACTACTTCCATCTATGGCTTATGAGCGTTAGTCGTTTTACCAAAAAGCGTGTAAGCGCGCTGGTTCGTTTTACATCCTCCTTTTTTTTTTCCCCGCCATCCCTACATATCGGTGCGTTGAGACGATTCGTTCGCGAGACATACCCCACTCACGACTCTGTATACAGATGGCTCCTGCTAGCTGGACCACGCCTCAGCAATGGGATTGGCTGATGGCCATGATGCCAGCCTGCCAAGATGCCTCGAAGAAGGGCCGCTACGGTGGCTGGCTTCTTGAAGTCTATCATGCATGGTTCGTGCTATGGCCGGAAGAGGATTCCCTATTCAGAGAGGGCGTGCCGGAGAAGCTCAGTTCGGAACAGAAGGAGGCGTTGGGGGTGGCGCGATCGCAACGCGAAGCGGTACGTCCTCTGATATATCTCAGAGATGCAGCCAATGACAGCCTCTCCAGAAAATCAAAGTCTGGTTCCACAACCAAAAGAATAAGGCACGCGCGGCGCGAAGCTCTGCCTCGCTGCCAGCCTCGTTGTTGACGGCGAAGACGAAGGGGTCGCGCGGCGCGCAACCGAGGGAAGTGTATTATCGTCTCTACTATGATGCCGAGAAGAAGGCCGCCGTCCAAGCCGCTCTCGTCGAAGCTCGTACTACTTTGGGCAGGAAGCTCACGCGCAGCGAATCCATGAGCATCTCGCGTCAGGTGGTAGATAAGATGTACAACGAATCGGACGCTTCGGTGCATGCCGCCGTGCAGCAGCAACTTGCGAAGGAGAAGGTCCTCGCGGCCGTTCCCGCTGATACGCCAGAGGGCGGATCCAGTCACACTCCGCAAGAGTATCAAGCGTATGTTTTACTCTCCTTGCAACGATACATATTGCTAATGGTATGTGCGCTCGCAGTGCGATAAATGCGGCTCCCCGTTGGATCGAGAAAGTCATGGTCCCTATCGCTAAGCTCACCGGATGGTCTTTTACGGTCATGGGGGCTGGGCCCTCTCCGGAGGAAGGCGGTGACATCGGAAGCTTTGCGTACGTCTGTCGCATGGCCGATCGGAACCGAGGAACTCACTTCTCTCAGTATCCATTTTGGGACGAACCCGTCCGGGCATACGTTTGGACAGGTAACTCCGGACTTCAAAGAGAAATACATGCGTCCCCTCGTGTTCTTCGCGAAGGGGGTTCATTGTGAGGCCCAACTTCTTGCTTAACCTGGTCGTGTTCTCACCGCTTTGCAGCCCGAGAAGAGCGACTTGCAAGGTCATTGAATGCAACACTCACGCCAGGTGATGCTCTTCGGACGGAGCCTTCGTCGTCCCCCCGGTCTAACACCGGCTCGGAGCTTCCCGCACACAAAGAAGACCGATCCACTCCCTTGCCATCTAAGATAGGGTCGAGCTCTTCCTCGTCCAGCACGCCCGTCACCGGCCACTCACCTGCACCCACTCCCGGAAGCTCTGGGCCTCTGATCAGCCCCCCGGCGGCTCAGCCGTCCATCACCAACGCGCCGCCACTCCCCTATCCGGACATCCCATTCCCTGGCAGCAGTGTCGGCGCGTTGGACTCTCTCTACGCGTTCGCCGCCGCCGACGATGGCGACGACGATGGCGACGAAGTGTATGACGCCTCTGTTTTTGACACGCCTTTCGACTTTACCACGGGGATGTTTACCGTACCGACGAAGGGCGGATCGATTACTGATCTTCTCTCCGTCGCAACGCCTACGCCCGCGCTTTCTGAGGGGAACACCGCTCCAACCGTCGCGCCCGCTCAGGTGGACCCCGTCGTGCTTGCCAAGACGTCTCAGGCCGCCGCGACGTCCGCGCCCGCCACCGCGACGTCCTCGCCCGCCACCGCGACGTTCTCGCCCACCACCGCGACGTTCTCGCCCGCCACCGCGACGTCCTCGCCCGCCACCGCGACGTTCTCGCCCGCCACCGCGACGTCCGCGCACGCCACCGCAACGTCCGCGCCCACCACCGCGACGCTCGCTCCCGTTTCGCTTGGTACCGCACAGCCCACCTTGACGTTACCATCCGCTCTCGCGACGCTCACAACCACCTCGCTGAACGTCGAGCAGGCCGCTGCGCTTGCTCGCCTGCAGCCCTTCCTCGCTACTATATCGCAGGCCAGTGCGACATCGTCGGCTACCTCCACGCACACCGCAGACTCGCTCAATGCCGCGCAGGCCCAAGCGACCGAGGCCCTCCTGCTCCTCGCCGGGCTGTCACGAGCCGGTGCACTTCCGCCCGCCAAGGCTGCGGCTTCGACTGCGGCGACCGCCGTTCCGTCCACCATGACTGCTCCTCCCTCGGCCGGCGTATCCATCGCAACAGAGTCTTCTACCCCTACTCAGGACGATTCCATGCCGCCTCCGAAATCTGGCCGCCCGATGCGTGCACACCGGCCTCCACCGCGTCGAGACGCCTCCCCCAGCGTGCCGGCGGCTTCTCCTGCAACGAAACGGGTCAAGGTTGACGAGAAGCGGGCTCCTGCGAAGCGTGGGGGCGGCAGAACTCGAGCTTCGCGCAACTAAGGGAGGGTACGCGTAATCAGTATCGTTGTCAATATCTCTGTAGTCTTGATCCTGTGCGCTTTGGAGCATGATGTGTGCGACGTCCATTTGTTTATCTCCCCACCTTACCATAGCTAATCTTGAGACTAATAGCCGTCCTATACATGTGACCGCGCCTTCTATATACTGTACTCGCGATCTTGACCAATATATCTTCAGCTTGTGTGCATGAAAAGGTCAGACGGTCAACCAGTCAGCAGGGTCCGAGTCTTATGAAAGGCACACAGATACTTTTGAAATGAAAGGGAACTTGCCCGTAACGATTAGCGACGTGCGCGGCTCGCTTCACGGTATTCTGTATTTGCGACGCCTGTATGATAGAAGGTGAATATGTTTCCGAATGTCTCGGAGATCGAATCCTAACAACTGGGGGATACAGCAGGTCTGCCTTACTCGAACAATCGAGGCTCTATGACATATTCTGACAGATTTGTTGGGCGGCAGCTGGCGCCGACGACAAATTAAGGAAAGCCGCAACAGCCTGATGAGGCACGGTAGTGATGTCATCAGGGCTGGCAGGCGTTGAGTAGGGGCAGTCCGTAAACGGAACTAAGTCCACTGATTCCGCGCTTAAACGAGCCGTTGGAACTCCGCAGAGTGCGCAATGCGAAGGGCCTAGTGAGGCCTACCGCATTTGGGCAACGATCACTTCCCGGCACCCACCGAGAAGCCAGCATTAAGCGGGCTAGACGCGAAGGACCAAAAGGGGAAGCAGCCACGCGTGCGGAGGAGCGCCATCAGACCGAAACAGGAAGGTGACAGCAGGGGCGCTGAGCCAACTGTGGATATATCCACAGATCATCTCTGGATACATCCAGAGATGCGACCTCTTATCAGAGACGGAGATGGATCACGCCCCGTGCTCTAATCAGAGATCAGGGATATATCCATATGACAGCAACGCCTGCCTCGTAAGCATTTGGAATATCTATAAGAGATGAACACGTCATAAAAAAACGCAGAACACAGAACTCTCGGAACGCACCAGGCAACCAACTGCCCAAACTTCAATGGGATACGACCACACGTGTCCAAGTAACATCTCGGGCGCGCGCTGCTCGATCGGCGTGCAGATGAAAGTATCCGGGCTGATATCGCCTGCACGTATGACTAGAACCCGGGACGTGAGATATGGCTAGTCGCGAAGAGAAGAACCCACATACCATTGCCGTAATCGATGAGACGGACGTGCAGATTCTCATATGATGGATCTAGACCAAGGTTGGGGAGAGGCTGAGACTGTATGGCCGGTATAGGATGTGGCGATATGTGCGAGTTGATCGGGGGCCAGTCCGCATAAATCTGCGGGGGGTCGTTCGCAAGAATGCTGTCGATTTGTTCGGTGCTGGCTCCCAAATTGACGAGAATGTTCGCCAGCTTGACATCTGCGAGGTGCGTGAGCGGATGTGATATACAACACTCGGAATGGACTCGCCTGGGTGCACCCTTTGAAGCTTGAATTCCAGAAAGCTGAGGCCCAGAAGGACTTGCCTCGTGACCCTCTTCACTGCCCGGAGTGGGAAGCGGGAGGTCGGAGAGGTCTCGAGAATATCACGCAAAGATGTGCCGTAGGGAGTGAGAACCACGCAGAGATGTTCACCGTGTGCACTGTCCTCGATAAATCTGCTCCTAATCATCGCGCAGTGCCGGAAGCCGGGATGTGTCGTGTCCGATGTCCGAAATGTCGCCATGCTCGTTGCAACAGCAGCCTCGTAGCAGAGCTCATCACATTCGGCGTATGTGGCGGGAACCGACAAGACCTTGATCACAACATAGCGATACCTGTCAGGCCTGGAGAGCACGCTCCAATAGTCAGCTCCCGTGCGTCATGAAGGAGGGGGTACGCACATTGTCTCTTTAGCGAGCCACACGCTTGAGTTGGTGCCATATCCGAGTTTGCGCATGACCGTGTATTTACCTCTGTGCAGCGCCTGGCCGAGCCGCATTGGAAAATACCCATACGGCTGCCCGTCTTCCGGGCTCAGCATGTAAGGCTCCTCATGGAATGCGGCGAGGTGAGGATCGAAGGCGGGGTCGGTGGTCTGGAGCGGCGGGCTGACGTTTGAGCCTGACGAGAGCCAGCGGCCGGGTGATGCGCGTAAGTGTGAAGAGCTGCGGAGGAGTCGTGCAGGAGTACTGTAGAGATCAGACGTTAGCGGCGGCGGGTTTGGGTGTGACCGGTTGGATACGATGCGGCGGAGCGGCGAGGCCCACGGTGACCTGTGACCGCACCGTCCGGAGCGGCGACTGTGACACTACCTACCGCCGCCGCGCCAGCGGCGGCCGGCGCTACGGTGTGTGGTACCTGTGTCACAAGCGGCGGCGGCCTCGGTGACCAGTGACCGAGGGGCCAATAGCGGCGGGGCGGAGGTCTCTGTGACCTGTGACGCGCCGCTAACGTCTGATCTCTACAGTAGTGAGTCTCAGGCTGGCAGGGGTGGAGTGCACCGTAGCGAGGACAATGAGTCCGAAAGTTTTGATGAAGCGGCCATAAGGTGGTGTCAAGGTCGGCCGCGCACCACTGAGAGACTGGAAGGGGTATGATTGAAACCGTGCAGTAGCAGTGGTACGATTGTAAAGCGGCAGACAATAGTGCACGCGCATGGAGCCGGGAGAAGAAACCCAACTTGCCAAAGTTGGACGACGGTCACGTTCACTGTGGTCGTTGGATGTTGAAACTCCTGACCAGTGATTGTAGCTTCACGAGCCAAGGTCGGCGGTGACTGGTCTCTTGTAAGAATGTGAGCTGAGTGCAACGATGCGAGCAGAAGGAGTGGTGGGTCGTTGACTGACAGCGTCAACGGGCCGCAGTGGCACGGCTAGCGTGGGACTTAGCGCCTTGTTTGGTCGTGTGGGTACGACGACTGCACTCAAGCTGGGACTTAGGAGCGCTGACTCTCGAAATGCCCAATTCACCATCTCGTTCGCCTTTCAACTTCTTCGCCGACCTCGCGAGGTCCCCGACACGCCCGCACTCGCCGCTAAGCCCTCAGACTGGCCGGCCTCTCCTAGCGTCAGCCGCGAGCGCGAGCATCCTGCGCTCCGCCACTATTTCACCCACGCCGCCGGCTTCTCCACTCTCGCGCTCGGATGCGACGTCGCCCGGCCGCCATTTCTCGTCAGAAGCCAGCTCGCTCACCGCCACCAACCCTGGCTTTGACCCCCGCCGTACCGCTTTCCACGAGGAGCCCTATACGCTGAGCCCGGAAGATGGGCCGTATGGGTACTTTCCCATGCGGCTTGGTCAGACGCTGCGCGGTGGTCAGTACAAGATCGTGCGAAAACTCGGATACGGCACCAACTCCAGTGTGTGGCTCGCCAAGGAGACAATGTGCGTGCTTCTGCGCTTCTCGCACCAACGAGCCCACTACTTATATCATTCTCTAGGCCTGACGGGCATCGCTATGTCGTGATCAAAGTCTTGTCGGTCGTCGCCACAGATGCCGAATACGATGATCTCTATTACGAGGCCGCGGTCGCAAAGAGCATGTCTACTTTTCAGGTGTCGGACCTAGCGCATCCTGGCTATAGGCACTGCGCAATAATCAAGAGGTCTTTTACCGAAGACAGCGCACACGGTGAACATCTTTGTGTGGTTTTTACTCCTTACGGCGCATCTTTGCGTAATATTCTCCAGACTTCCCCGACCTGCCACCTTCCGCTCTCCGCAGTGAAGACGGTCACGAAGCAAGTCCTTCTTGGCCTCAGCTTCTTGGAATTTAAGCTTCAAAGGGTGCACACAGGCCAGTCAATTTTAGCGTATGCACCTCATACCCACTCACGTGCATCGCAGATGTCAAGTTAGCGAATATCCTCGTCGAATTGGATACTAGCACCGAAGAAATCGATCGCTTTCTTGCGAACAACCCGCCGCAGATCTATGCGGACTCGCCCCCGATTGACCCACGCGTATCGCCACACCCTATACCGGCCGTACGGTCGCAGCCTCTCCCCAACTTTGGCTTGGACTCGTCGTATGCGAACCTGCACGTCCGTCTCATCGATTATGGTAGTGGTATGTGTTACATACCTTCTGCGACTAATTGTGATCTCACAACCGGTGGGCTAGCCATACGTGCGGATGATATTCGCCCGGATACGTTCATCTGCACACCAACCGAGCTGCGCGCTCCAGAGATGATACTTGGACATGCGTGGTCGTACCCCGTCGAAGTTTGGGCCGTTGGCTGCCTGGTTCGTGCCGAGAGCTCCGCTTCATGTGATGGTCCCTCACGCTATTGTACCTTTTAGATATTCCATTTGCTTACGAGGTGAGCAGCATTTCCCTCTCGCACCATGGACGAATACCTGGCGATTCTCTACGATCGTCTTGGGCCTCTCCCTGTGGATTTCGTACAACGCTGCGCGAACGGTCGGCGCAATATTGATCACCAAGGTGAGCTCCGATAGATGCATTCATGAACGATTGTTGACCTTCTGTCGCAGGCATTCCCTTTAGCGCTGAGCACAGAGTCGGTGGGAGTCAAGACTCCCTCGAGAGCAGATTCGCGATGTTGTGTGATGGCCTGAGCGCGCAGGACATCAACGCTACCTGCCGTTTCTTGCGCAAGTGCTTGGCGATTGACCCAGTGGACAGGCCAACGATCTCTCAGCTATTGCAGGATGAGTGGCTCACCACCTGATGACGATCTCGTAGCTGTACCGAGTGACTTGACGTTTGCATAGATTGTGTTGCAGGCGCACAACATAGCCTTCTGTTCAAAGGCACCGGATATGAATTTCTTTCCCGTGCAGCGTGCTCTAGGACCCGTGTTATTATATCGTTATAAGGGACCGACAGTTTCGGCAGCGATGGGAAACTCCTTCACGCGCGCCGATCATAGACTCGTGAGGCAATATACTCAGCATCTACAAGACCATACAATGCACTATAGGGCCACGTTGGTGGCTCTGGCCACGAGAACTGTGCGGCGAGGCGCGTCCTCGCGCGCCTCGCCGCACAGTGATTCTGCGTCGGACCCAATGCCGGTTGCGCACGCCCGGGCGGCGGTGAGGGCGGCGAGCCAGTCCTCGAGGGTGTCCGAGGCGAACACCTGGTCATGTTTCACGCCGTACCAGGCCATAGTTCTCATCCACGCCTACATCAGTTCCATCTTCTCAGTAATCTCGCACATCGTCGCCACATCTAACGGCAGCAGACAGGCCCCATGCGCGCTCTCCACGCATTCCCAGAAGTTCACAACGGGACACCGTCGTTCACGATCATATGGTTCTGCGTGGCTGGATTCGCGTCGCAGGAGAGCGCTGCGGGAGGGCGTGTCAGCGCGCGAGGGCAAAGAGGAGGTAATATACGCACAATAGCGTGGCTGATGGCGCAGGCTGCGCAGTGCGCGGTGCAAGATGTACCTGTGTAGAATTTCGGGTCACCTAGAAGAGGCACGAAGCATAAGTTCGAACTTGTTATCATTGTCACGCAGACCGAAGTAGTGCAGCTACGATATCACTATCAAGTCGTGAGCCACATATCCTCCAATAACTGGGCGATCGTGGGTCTAGACAAAGGATCAATTGTGAGGCACCTGCGCAAGAAACGGCAGGTGTCGTTGACGTCCTGCTCGCTCAAACCGTGAGACGAGGTCGCGAATCTTGTCTCGAGGGTGCCTTGACCCCCGGCGCCGTGCTTGACGCTGAAGGGAATCCCTGCGACCGTAGGTCAGCAGCTATCCATGACTATATCTATCAGACCTCACCTCGGTCATCGATATATTGGTGTCCTTTCGTGCAGCGCTGCACGAAATCCACGGGAAACGGCCCGAGACGATCGTAGACAAGCGCTAGCTGATCATCTCGGGTATAAGGGGGAAACACCGCTTCATGCGTGAGCAAATGGAATACCTAGAAGACACAACAGCGTGAGTTGGGGCCGCGTGAAGTGGACGACTCGACACGCACCAGGCAGCCAACCGCCCAAACCTCGACGGGGTACGACCACGCATGCCCGAGTAGCATCTCGGGAGCGCGGATCTCAGTCGGCGTACAGATAAGTGTGTCCACGCGGATATCCTCTGCGCGTATAGCTAGAAAACGGGCCGTCAGCTACCGCTAGTCGTCGAAAGCAAACTATACATACCGCTGTCATAGTCGATGAGCTTGATATCAATGTTCGCATACGACGAGTCCAGCCCGAAGTTGGGGAGCGGCTGCGACCGCAGGGCCGGAATGGGATCTGGCGATATGCGCGGATCGATCGGGGGCGTGTCCGCATACATCTGCACCGGGCTGTCCGCGAGGAAGCGGTCAATCTGCTCAGTGGGGGCACGCGGGTGGTGGAGAATGTTCGCCGCCTTGACGTCTGCGAGGTGTGTGAGTTGTGGACGTGACGCGCAGCGCTCGGACTCGACTAACCTGTGTGCACCCTCTGAAGCTTGTATTCCAGAAAGCTGAGGGCCAGAAGTACTTGCCTCGTAATCGTCTTCACCGCGGGAAGCGGAAGACGGCCGGTTGGAGAGGTCTCAAGAAGATCGTCCAATGTTGTGCCGTACGGAGCGTAAAGCGAGCAAAGATGTTCACCATGTGCGCTATTCTCAAAAAAGGTCCTTCCAATGATTGCGCAGTGACGATAGCCGGGATGCGCCTGGTCAGACTTCTGAAATGTGACCATGCTCCGGGCGACTGCAGCCTCGTGGCTCAGCTGGCGGATTTCGACCTGTGTGGTGTATACCGACATGATTTTGAGCACGATGTAACGATGCCCATCAGGCCTGGGAAATGCGAGCCGACAGTCAGCTCGCGGACGTCGAGAGGGAGGAGAAACGCACGTTGTTTCTTTGGCGAGCCACACGCTTGAGTTTGTACCATATCCGAGTTTGCGCACGATCTCATATTTGCCCTGGCGCAGCTTCTGACCGAGCCGCATGGGAAAGTATCCATACGGCCCCTCCAGCGGACTCAGAGTGTAAGGCTCCTCGTGGAAGGCGATGCGGAGAAGGTCAAAGGATGGGTCCGAAGTGGTGGGTGCCAGGTGGGCGTTCGAGCCTGACGAGATGCAGGGGCCGGTCGGCAGCGGCGCGTCCGAGCGCGAGATGGCAGAGGCCGGAGGTGTAGCGGCAGGTCGCACAATGTCAGGCATGTCGAGCTTCTGGAAGGCTTTCGCTTGTGCGAGAGGTTGGCGAATCGAACATGTATGCAAGTTGCCAGAGGGGGTGACAGTGGTGCTTATATTCTCTATTACACGTGTTGCCTGCACGCGGTGGCGATGCGTGTCTCGATCTAGTAAGTTGAACTTGGATTGTTGCACGGGTGCGCATGTCGAAGGCAAAGACAGGCCACGCAGTCTCGGCAGCCAGAATTTGCAGTACGAACCGAATGCACCCTATATCCCGTTCACAGCTAAGCGGGCATCGACGGAAGCTAGGCGCTGCCACTTTCTGCTCAAGTGTCGACGCGTCAACTCCTCTCCGGGGGCGCCCCCGTCGTCGTATTCCACGCCGTCCCAGGCGGGACCTCCCAATCGCCCAAACACGCCCACGCCCAGTCCGTCTCCCCGATAATCTCGCGCATCGCCGCCACGAACACCGGCAGCGGACACGCCCCGTCCGCGCTCTCTGCGCACCCACGGATGCCAGTGAGCGGGACGACGCCGTCGTTCACGATGACACGGATCTGTGTGTCTGGAGTTGAGTTGCACGAGAGCACTAGGGGGCGTGTTAGCGTGAGCGGGGAAGAGGAGGGGGAGATAAGGAGCGAACGCTGGAACTGGACGTTGGTGGCGAAGGGGGCGAGGTGCGCGGTGCGGAACGCGCGGTTGTGCGGGATGTGGGTGGCTGGGAGCGGCCCGTCCTTCGCGAAGCTCGTCAAGTTCAGCGCCGTGAGCACTGTACCCACACACTCGTCAGCTACACGCTGTATCATGCTCAGTCGAAGGACGTACCGTTGAGCACAACGACTTCGTGCGTCGCGTCAACGTACAGACTCTGCCCGAGCGGAAACGTGCGTGGGTCGTCCGCGAGCGTCGCGTTCGTCGACGAGTTGTGCGCGCTGATGGGCGTATGTGATAGGCGCGCCACGAGCTCCTGCACGTACCCGATCCCGAGCCCGCGCGCGACGGGCGAGCCGAAGGCCGAACTGTACCAGAAGTGCAGGTCGACGCTGTAGTCGAACCCTTCCCACTCAGCCGGGGTGAACAGCTCGCAGAACTTCGAATAACCCAGCGCGACCGTCTGCGGAGGTTAGGGCGCGGCGAGTGAGGATGCGGAAGTAAACTCACCTCGTACGCGCAGAGCTGCTGCATGGTGTACGCGTCTTCGATAACGAGGTCGACGCCCGTAATCTGCGCGCGGAGCCGGACGAGCGCGTCACGGAGGTAGATCTCCGCCCACTGGCGCACGTACGGCGTCCCGCGGTCGCCCTTCGCGTGGTCGTGCGAGTTCGTGCACGTCTTCGACGGCGCGAGTGTATTGTTGAAGCCGTGCTCCTCGATCGTGATCAGCTGCTGGTACTTGCCGTCGAGCGGGTGGCCGAAGAAGCCGAGCGCGAAGTTGAGCGCGGAGGACAGCATGCGGTCCTGCGACTCGGTGCGGAAGACGGGGAGCGTGTTCGACTCGGTGAAATTGTGCAGTAGGAAGCCGTACTTCATGCGCATGGAGACGCCGAGGTCGTCTGGAGAGAGGGAGATGAGCGCGGGAGGAGGCGCAGTACGAAAGACCCACAGAGTTGTTGGCGCCCGAACGGAGTCAGGATCTCCTCGCCGAGCTTGTACGTCCTGGGAGAGGTGAATTAATTAGTATCTATCTACTTCAGCAGGAACGAGGCGAATCTCGGCAATGTGACTTGTAGTACGTTCTGCCAAATGCAGCAAGCAGATTCAAACGACTCGCACATTCATCTTACTCTGCTCGGGAATGTTTTCGGGGTGTTCAAGCGTTCAGGGCCTGCACTGAGATGAGGCTTCCGCAAGTAGCCTGGCAGGTAAGCTGTGGCAAGGTTCGAGTGATCCATGAGCGACTCGCGATGGTCTATCGATATGAAAACTGCGAAAACATCTCCGCTATATCGCGGGATTTGATTGTGCTCGGCGGAGGTATTTCGTGGCCTACTAGTCTCAGATATCGATATACAGAGGTGTAGGGATATCCTCCAAGCGCGATCTTCTCATCGAGGTTAAGCTTGGCGTCGATTGGATACCATTACACACCAGTAACTTGTAGAGCGGTTTCCCCGCTCAAATTCCCTAATGCCGTGCCTCGAAAAGCAGCAGATTTACTCACCCAGGAGAGAAAAATACGGGTTGCTCCGAGAACAACGCATGTGGACTCACCAATCGTTCAAAAAGTCAAGCTGGCCTCGGGCCTTCCAGGACTCAGATTGGGCGAGACGGAATGAAAAATTTGCGGGACCGCCGTACGAAGCTCCGCCGGTCGGATAGCGAGCGCCATGGCGATGAAGCAGATGCATGCCAGTGACCCGACAGCCCTCAGGAGCTTCGGGTGGAGAGTCTACGCCAAAGACAGAGCGAGGGACGGAGAACCAAGGCGAGAGATTGCCCCAGTGCTGGAAGACATCGAAGGGCTGCTCGGAGTCACTGCGTAAACCGCCAACGTCGTCCACCACGGACGAGTGAGTGCTGGTGAGGAAGGGAATGAGAGATAATGGGTAGCTGCCTAATACTGACCCTTGAGAGACTAACTAGTTGTAAGTAGGCGCGGTAAACCCTACTTAGTGTAGTCAGAGTCGGAGCTACACCGCGCGAGACGGACTAGCGGTGTATGGTGTCCGGGGTGCCAGTTGGCCTCGCACAGGCTAGCGTTCGTATACCACGGCCTCCGCTCGTCCTACCTTCGAACTACACAACGCGTCTGGCAGCCGCTTGGTGTCGTCTGGGCTGTCTTAACCACGTAATGTTCTATACATGAGGGAAGCAGCCTCGTTAAGTAGCCCTTGACATCTCGCCGAGTCGACGCCGACAGCCCTACACGACTACCATCATATATGCCGCCCCAATCCACTGCGCTCGTCCTTCACTCCTCTCGGAGGTCTGCAGGTCAACCTCCACGCTCTCGCGAGTCTCCTAGACCTACTCATCCAAAGCGCGAGGACACTGAGTGTCCAGCTGAGCTCGTCCTTCCTGCTTTGCTCCGCTGGTACACGCAGCGCGAAGGCTGGCGCAGAAGGACGTGTGGGCTCGCGCGAAGACAGATATCAGGTTATATATCTCTATGGTGAGCACTGAGTTCGTTCTCCAATTCGCACAGCAGCTCGCAGCTCATAACACTATACAGAGCGCGAGCACTACCGGCGCAACAACGAGCTGCTGCTTCCAGCTCTGGGTGTAACCCCCACGCCGCTCGTCTCGTCCGGATGCGATTCCACGTATTTGAAGGTGGTACTCGACCATTATCGGCCCCACGACGGCCTCCTTCTCCCCTAGTGGTTCCACGACATTGAAGCCCCGCCTGACCATGCCTGCTTTTCCAGCGCCCACACTGAACGTCGAGAATTGCCTTTCAGGCCGAGGTGCGTATCTAGCCCTTCTGGGCTCGTCTTCGGTGCCGGCGCCGAACTGTTATTCATAACTGATTGCACATTTCAGGCTAGTATCTAAAACATAAATTATCGCGGCTGGGGATCTGGATACCTTCACGGCGGCGCCGCATCTAGCGGCCTCAGGATGGTATGCATTCTCCAAGTTGCACTGGTAAGCTCAATTCCATCCTCGCATCCTTAACTGACGTTCACGTCCAGTACCGGTTCTGCGTTCACAAGCTCTCGACACAAGGCGGCAGCCAAGAGCCTTGCTGGTCAAGCGAAGGGCGGTGAGTCGTGACTCCGGGTCGTTGGAGGGCGGTGAATGCGCCGCGCCGCGTCGCGCGCAGGGCGGGACATTGGCCTAGAATGGCTACGTTTCAGGGCGGTACCGATATGTACGCGTAGTACTAGTGAAAATAAAGTATTTGTGGCTATAAGTATCTGGTCTAGAAACGTCGACTCCCAGCTAGGAGCAGGCCTAGAGTGATCAGGGCCCCTCGTTCCTGATGTGTCCGCCCGCGGAGGGCTCTAGCGGTCTCTCGCTCGCAGTGCGACTAGACTACGTAGTGCAGAGTCGCAGCGCGCGCGCGGCGCTGCCTCGCGCGATGTTGCTGCGGCTCTGCTAGACAATATCTTCACCTCTTGTCCATCCTCCCACCACCACGCGCCGTGCACTGCAGCGCTGACCTTACTGAGCCGTATTGTCCTCACTAGGTGTGTTCTGAGCTACCTGGTCTCTCCATATATTGTGCAACTGCATTACTAGGCGGTCCAGCTACGTCCTGAAACTACCTGATACCCGGTAACGCCGCGCACCCTCAGGTAAATTCGCACTACCATACCTAGCTCACTAATCACTAGTATTGACTGGCCTTTGCAGCGCGTTCACGCCCCAGCTGTACTAGAAGGGGGTTTTACGCAGTGAGTGGTTCGCGAGGGTCTGCGGCGCGAGCAGGTGAGCTGCGCCCGAGTGGATAGGCAGAGAGGGGGCAGTTGCGACGAGTGCGGGTTCTGCGCCGGTCGGAGTAGGACCGGCATGGCCGATGTCTGAGGGGAAGAGGGAGGGGAAGACGTTGGAGGGCGAAGGCGGCGGATAGCGGTGAACATCGGTCGAGCCTGGTGGGAACGGAGCGAAGAGGTCTGGCGGAGGATGGGAGAGGAAGAAGACGAATCTGAGGGCGAAGGCAGAGAAAAGGCCGGCCGCGTAGGCGAGCACGATCCGCCACGAGCTGAACGTCCCCCGCGTGCTTCGTGTGGCCGGCTCAAGTGCGTAGTCTCCCGCAGGCACCTTCGCGTACTTGGTGGACATCGTCGGGAGAGGGCTGCTCGTCGTGGTCGTCGATGGCGAAGCTCAGATTGAGGCCGCCGCTCCAAGGATGATACGGTCACGCCAGATGCACGTGACCTTGGGCTCATCTCGCGCCAATCCCTCTCGATCGTTGCTTGCCTCTCTGATCACTCTCACTCGAACCGCCCGCGGCCACAAGGTCCCGCCATAGCGTACCGCACGTCGGAAGGCAGCTAGTGGCTCGCTCTCTCCGCTCTTCACGGACTCTGGTCGTGTTCGCCCTGGTCACTCACTCGAGTATCAGTAGCCCGCCCTCGCTCTCTGACATTCGTTCATGACCGTCGCCTGCACTCACCCGCATACTCAGAGCGTTTTGTACGCTGCCCTCCACTGACCTCTCGTGCTTTCGTGCTGAGCGCCTCCCCGCTAGACTTCGCGTTTCCCGCTCCCGCGCCCTCGCGAGGCCCATACATCCTCTTCCGCGCCGTCTGCCACACATGCGGAGCGCATACATCGTTTCCGCCCCCGCACCGCTACCTCCTCACACCACCTCCACTCGTGTCGTGCAAAAATACGTCCGCCGTCCACAAAGTGTGTATTTTCACACTTTTGCCAATCGATTCCGCTCACGTCGTCCGCGCTCTACGCAGATTTTCGCATTTTTCGACGAAATATATTCGTCCCTCCCGCGGCCCTCGACAGAATCGCCCAAGACGTCGCATACAACACGGTGCATCATGCCCGCGACGGACCCCGCCGTTTGCAAGCCCGCCATCTGCACCTCGGCCGCGCAATCTGCAAGAGAGCGCTGCGCCCCGCACAAAATCCGTCCTCGCGCACGCAGGATGAGCCCCTACCTCGCGTAGACGCCAGAAATACGAACGTCCACCCTGGAACACCCGGTCATACAAGTTTGGACGATGCAGCACGCCGGGAACACACCCCTTTTCCTCAGTCTCTGGCGCATGACGCACAAATCCGTCCGTATCTCCCGCGTCGCGCACACCATTTCGCTCTCTTACACATATTCCAGCACTCCTACACACTCCAGGCACGACCCGACGCATTTCGCGGCGCGCCCGCGTACGTTTCGCCGGCCCAAAACATCGTCGACCATTGCATTGCGTTAGGCGCCCATGCCCCCACCTCGACCATCCTGCCGACGCCGCGCCGCGCCGCTCTGCGCGCTGGCGACCACATGCGACGACTCCGCTGATACGGGGTGTGCAGCACGCGCAGTACAAGCACGATCCGAGAGGGCTGCCAAACCCGTTTTCATTGGGTCGTCGATGGTACGTGTATCGCACATGGCCTTGTATGTGCCGAACTCACGCCGACGCGCACAGATGCGAGTTGAGTGCGGGTCTATGTCCCTGGGGGACGTCCTGCAACGTGCGTCGCGAGCGATACGCGACTCCGTTCGCGAGCTGGCCCGGTGCAACCGTCGCGCGGAGGCGCTATCGGTCAGACATGTCCGCTCCCCGCACGCATTCAGTACGTTCGCGCCTCAGAAGTGACGCGTCTCGGTATACGTACTCACTGTACATCTATGCTTGCGCTTTTGGACGTCGCACGGTATCACGCACGGGGCCAGCGTAGTGCCGTACTAGCGGCCAGCCTGCCAGACAAGGTACCGACTCTGCGCTCGAGCGGCGCATCTACGGCCTCCGGAAACACGACAGTCAACTCACGGGGCCCAACAGCACACGTACACAGTGTCTCGGCGCGATCAGAGAAGAAAAATATTTGTCGCTCTCAACAGGATTCATGGGCAAAAACACTAAAACACGCGTACCGTGACGACGCCGCCACCTACGACCGCGCGCTTCGGCGCACACACTCCCCGGTACTCTCGTCACCTCTCCCCGTCGCTTCGAGCCAAGACATGGCGGTTCGACCGTTTTGCGGAAGCACGTTCCTGCGCGTGGGAAGAGGTGAGCAAACCGTTCCGTTGGGAGCACAGTTACTCACCTGCGGTCCCTCGGGGTGGCCGTAGATAGACGTTGTCGTGCCAAGCTCGCCCGCTGCAGAACGGCGACGAAGACGACGTAGGAACGAGGGGGGGGGAAAGGGGCAGGGGGGAGGCAAAGGAGAGGGATGCTGCATGCTCCCCGTCCCACCTCGCCCCTCTTATACCCGCCAGCCAACCGCGCTGGCCCGTGTTCTCGGTCATGGCGCTCATACCGCTGACCCACGGCAACGCGTCACCCCGTCTCGTCTCGCCTCGCCTCGCCTCGTCATCATCCGCTCGTCTCGCCTTGTCTCGCCCGCGCCCGCACCGCCGCCGCTTCGCTTCAACCAGGCACCCTCCCGCGCAACAACCGCACACAGGGCCGCACACCCATGGCAACACGGGCCCGCCAGCTCCCTGCATCCCTGCCCGACGGGCCCCGCGCGCTCTCGCATGGCCGTCTGCGGATACCGGGTGCGCTCGTCCGCGCAGGGCTGCTGGCGGCGGGCGAGTGGATCCACGGATTCTCGCCCTCGTACCGGCGGATGACGACTAGGAGGTGTGTGTCCACGGACGGCTGGAGACGATGAGGACGCCCCTGCACGGCTTACCGCCGCGGCTTCTCGGCTGCGTTTTCGAGGGCGGCGGGAAAGGCGGCGTGCGCGACGTGTGGACGGTCGTAGCGGCTGTCCGACTCGTATGGCGCCACGTACGTCGTCGTCGTACCTGTTTCACGCGACCGCGGGCTCGGAGAATGGCGGGGCATCGTCGTGCCCGCTCATTGTGCCCATGTTTCGCGTATCTGGGAAGAGGGGCATCACGCCGACGTCAGGACTCCCCAGAGTAAGTTCTCTGCCACCATGATTACATCCTTGTGCAGCGCCTCACGATCCTCGTTAGCAAGCATCCCTATGTAATGATCTGTTTCTTGTACCTACGCTGGGCTCGTAACGGGCGAAATACGCGTTGTTTCTCGCGGCCTTGCAGCGATCCGAGTCGGCCTTTACGAGCAGCGCGGCGCACCTGCGAACACATGGAGGACCGGGTCATAACAATATTGGACACGCTCTACCGGCCTCCGAGTTGTCGGCGTGCTGACAGCCTCTCGGGGCTACGCGAAATGCGTGCACACAGAGCTTTGCTCAGCATCCCGGTACGTTTTGCGCTTCATTTTCTCCGTCTGCCGCGCCCAGAGACCCTCTGACGCCTGTGCTCCAGACACCCATTGCTGTGGACCCGGACAGGGACGATGTACGCGCCGAATACATTCCGTGAACATGGCGAGGTGTCGCGCCGCGAGGACACCCACACTGCATCGGCGCCGCACGGCGTGTGATGCTCCAGCATGCCCGTCCCGCTCGTCTTTCTTCCAGCGGTGTGCATGACTCACCGTGGAAACGACTGACTTTGACAAGTCGCACTAAGCCTGCACGTCTGCGCCTGCAAAGTCGACGCACCCTCTAGGTGCACTGGCAGGCCTCGATCCGGTGTGCGGGACAGGGTCGACACCCGGTGGGTGTTGCATAACATCACGCGAAACGAACACCTCGAACACTCCGGTGAGGTACGAGTACGATCACCGGCACTCGCGGTGCACATTGCTCCCGGCGTCGTTAATTCACGGAAGTGTTGTGCGTACCGAGACGGTGCCCGCGCGCTGCCGAGGGCACCCAGTGGCCCACATCGACCGTGATGGCGGTACACAACGTGGACAACAGCCCTGTATGGTACGTACGATCGTTACCATCTCGTATTTTGTTTCGTTATGTATACGCAATATGCGGCGGCCCACCGTCCGATACACAGCTTCCTCGCGCAGGCGGGGGTCTGAGTCAGCGCGGCGGGTGATGGGGAGGCCGCTTTGTGCGTCCGCGGCTCAGTATGCATGTAAAGCGCACAGTAGGTGCGGTTCCACGGTATTCTAAGCTGTCGGGCTTCGAGCATCGAATATGAGACGAATGTGCGCAGACACTGCAGCAGACGGCATGAAGCTGATGCCTCAGGCACACACGACAACGTGCGGACACTCAGCGAAGCCGTCTCGCGCATCGTAACGAATGAAGGCACGAATTGCGTGCACATATCGACGTTGTGCCGCCTCTGGTTCGAGGCGAACGTACCAGGCGGCAGCGACGTCCCTCTCCCGCACGAACACGGCCCCTGTATGATAACGTCAATGGGGCACGATGCCCCGTGCACCCCCGCGCGCGACGAGTAATGGCGGCGAGAAATGCTCCAACGAGCAGTCCGGGAATGTGCGCCGTCGCGCGACAAAAGGGAGTACCGGTGCGCGCACATTTGTATGCTTTTCTACTAGTTTCTGTAGCTGTCATTCCTGATAATTAGCTGATCCATTTCTGCTAGTGCGGGGCAGAAGCCCGTAGAGAGTGCGCTATGTACCTTTTCGAGGGACTCGGAGTAGCCGGGAGCTGCACAGGAGTGTCATTGGCGCAGGCAGTCCGCTATCCAGGACCTTGCAATGTAGTTAATAGGACCGTGGACGTGCCGCGCACAGAGAGGTATGATTTTTATCAGGCTCAGAATTTACAGGCTGGAGGGTGGATCACACGTGTGGACTAGCACACCGCGAAATTCTATTCTGTATTAGGGACGATCTTAGTTGCCGTGCAGAGAGCGGACTTTGCGTCCTTGAGGGCTGCAAACTTGCTCGCCATGCGTACAGGCTGATCTGCAGAAAGGTAGAGCTTCGTGGGTCCGCGCGGAGTCCGAGTCTCTTGGGTGCCCAGTGCGAAGCGCACATCTTGGACAGTCTCCGAGCACCTCGCTATCGCGTGTACCGACGTGCCATGTACGTACCGTGACGCACGGGTGCACAACATGCACGATAATCCGGTGCTGTCCGTGCCAGAGCAAAATTCACAGTGTCAAACTGTATGGGCAGCCTTGCGCACACCGCTATACGAGATTCTGACATCACGGTACAGGAATTTCACGTACGTGACACGACCTTTGAACCGCATGAAGAACTGACTCGAGCAATGCAGGGATGCCACGTGCGCTGCATCCGCGTCCTGTGCGCAATTCTAAGGTACCGGCAGTCCGTCCGCCATGACATCGCATCAACTCGGGGCACGACGGCCGTGCATGACTATATGTTAGTGCATCACATCCAGAATGTTGGCGACTCAGTAGCGACATCTTCAGGGACAACAAAGCCACGATCGAGTATGTGTGCCATGGCTGCAGTTGCGTCAGCACAAACTGATTCGAAATTTACAGTGTGCCTTCGCGTAAACATGAGACAGGCCGCCCGCGCATCCGGTTGTGGAAGACCGCCTTCCTGGCGAGGCCACGGCGCGCACGGCACACTGAGGGTGAAGCTCTCGATGCTCTCCAGAATGAGGTATGGCGGCGTTGTGCTCGTGTGTGCTGCAGTCGCCAGAGGTCGGCTGTGGTGGGCTTAAAAGCGACAGGGTAACTGTTTGTATTTGGTGTCCAAGCACCCCCGCATTTCCCTCCCGGTGCGCTCCCTTCGCATCACACAACATAGTGCTTGCTCACGTCTCTCCTGCGGCAGCATCGCCGCATTTTAAGGACCTTGAAAAGGCCTCAAAGTCCGCCCTTGGCCACACAACAAGAGCTGCCTCACAGAGCTCGCAGCGGTGAGTTGTATGTCCTCTGCACGCCGCTGCGCAAATGGCTCACATATCTTGTTCTAGAGCTTTGACTATCCCCATCTAGACCGGCCGCGCTATAGGATGGCAAAGGGACGGAAGTGCGTGGGTGACTACGCGCGGCAGGAGCTGTGGATGCGCGGCTTCCTGCGGCACTCTATGGCAGAGTCAGTACGTGAGTAAGCTGTCCCACATTTGCATTGTTCCGCAGACACTGATTGCAACGCGCTTCAGAAACACACTCTGGTGACCCGGATGCCGGCATGGCATACTCTGTCCGGGGGTTCCACAAGAAGGTGTATGTACAGCAGGGCCTTGAACTCGATGGATGGCCGAGCGACATCCCGTTCACCAATCTCAGCAATGTGACCGGCTTCGCGCGGATCTCCGCGCTCTTCGTACTCTGGCAGACCGGGCTGATGAAGTTTGTCCCTGTTGCACTAAGCGAGCGGGAGCGGGCGGCGAGGAACCCTGCTGACGTTGCTCCGGGAACACGGAACAATGGTGTACCTCCGAACCTGGGACGAAGCGACATCAAGAAGCACCGCAAACGAGCGAAGGTCGACGTGGTCAAGTATCCGCCGCGGCATGTACGTAACGGTACCACGTCCGACAAGTGGGTCACGGCCCGGGCTGAGGCAGAGGCTCGAGCGGAGGCTGATGCAGGCCGGCGGTCGTCTGGGGCAGGCAGAGCGACGGACAGGGCGGGAAGGGAGGATCCGAGTGATCCAATTGAGGACTGGGAGGACGAGCCAGGGGCGGCGGTGAGCACGGGTTTGTGGGACTTGCGGCAGAGCTGGAGCCGTCGAGTCGAAGCGGTCATGTACCGTAACACTCTGGATATGGAGTAATGTATCGGACGGGGACAAGTGCAATACATATACCGCATGGCAGGGAACTTCGTGGGAGATGTCTTGAATTAGCATGCCCTGATGACGGGATGGATGCGGACGGCTTTCGGTCGTCCTGCACTGCAACGGTCAAGTTCCGCAGAGTCTGGGAACTCCTGTCCCGGCTGTTGCTTTCTCGGTTAGCAGAGATGTTTGCTATTCACATGGTAAGATGTGTGACATATCGGGCTGTGCAATGATCATTGCAGACAAGGGACAGTGAGTTGTGCAAAGCTGGACACCAGTTGTCGAGGCAGGGATACTGCCTCTCCGGAGGGCAGGGTGTACTAGTAAATGCTCACCGGAGAGACCGGGGCATTTCCAAGCTGGGCATCTTAAGTCAGGAACTTAGAAACTGTGCCCGGGTAACTCGCATCAACCCTGAGCGGGACAGGACCACAACCGTCTCTGAGTCTGACCAAATCTGCTTGCCGATTCGGACCGCACACCACACACCGCCTCGAGCTCATCAACGGGGACGTAGGTACGTGTCTACACACCCAGGCAGCCCGGAATAACTCTCACCCTCCTCCTACCATCTCCCTTGCCCACTGACACCTGCCTACCACCCCCGTCGAGTCTATCGGCCTCGAAGCGCACCGACGACGCTCCTGTCCCTGCGGCACCATGTCCTGCAAGTCGCACATCAGCCTGTATCGTTGGAAACGGTACGCAAAGGGACCACCGCCCAGTTTGACGGTACATACCTGCTCAACAGACTCGGTATGGCAGGCCTTCCAAGCATGCTCAACTCATGCACCCTGCCAAACAAAGCAGGCTGAGAGGAATGCTCAACCAGTCAGCAAATAGGACGATGCACGATGGGGCCACAATTTGCGAAGGAGGGAGGAGGGTGCGGTGTGTGTAGAAGCTCCAGGTGCGTTCCCACACACTGTCTCATGCTCGCGCGTTCCCGGCACGGTCTACCTCGCGATGCAGTTCGCAGGTACGCTACACTTTTCCTTCACGCTGGCCGGTACTGATCTCGCTGGAGAGCATACATACGGTACGAGCAGTGGCGCGAGATCACTCACCCACTCTGCAGCGGCGGCACTGCTCCGGCGGAGGTGCTTGGCAAGCACTTACACTGTGGCGGTGTCCGTACCGAGCACCGCAGCGCGCAGTTGTTGTTCGAGCACGGTACGTTCATCAGCCACTTTGTACGGTCCAGCAGGGCATGCTAACTCGCTCTCGCAGGCCGATGTCTGGTTCGCGCATGAGTGACATACGCTGGGCGCTGGGGCGCTTGTGTGAAGTTCGAAAACACCGTCTGCTGCGGCTGGGCGCAGGCCGCTCACCGCACTTAAGCTGGGAAGACACTTACGACGGGCGCATGCGCTCTGATATGTGGTACGTGGTCCCTCGTACCGTATTCACCCGGTACAATACCTCAATGCAGACTGATCGCACGCGACACGGGCGCCGCGCTCGAACACCCATGTGCTGGTCACTGAACCGGTACACGGAGAGCGCTGCGTGGGATAGAAAGACGTACCTGCGTGACAAGGAGGTACGTACAAATTCCACCGAAAACACCTGCAGAAAGACTCACCGAGGCCAACGTGCGGTGCGAAGTGGGCACGGGGGTCGCGAAGTTGTTACACTCCTGCTCAGGCCGGAGACTCTCTCACCAGCGAAACGAAGCGACGTACCTGCACGACCATTCGTACGGAGCTGATAATTCACTCGCATGTGGCAGGACCTACCGAGAGCGCGAGGACGGCGCCCTACGGGGCGCGGCGCGCGGGTGCACGAAGGTCAGCATCCGGCCCGTGAACACAGAGGCGACGCGGGCGAGCGGGACAGCGCAGCCAGCAGCCGAGAATGCGAGCTATTTGGGAGGAGCGCGAGCAAGCAGAGGCGGGGCAGACGTGCAGGGCGGCGGCAGATGGTGGTAGACGCGGAACGAGCAACGACGGCATCAGGCGCCCACGCAACGATCCTTGCATCTGCGCGGCCGCGGCGCCCTCCATCGCCTTCGCCGCCGCGCGCCCTTTGTCGCACCTCGCGCTCTGCGTCGCCGCGTCCGAGGGCGCACACAGTGTCTGTAGTCGCAGTCGTAATAAATATATTCGCGTCCTTACACATCGCCCATTGCGCGTACACCGTCCAAGTCCCGGCGCGGAGCATGTGCGCGAACCACCGTCTCGCGCGCGCGTCCCCTGCCCGCGCGCCGCTGCCCCCTTCCCATGAGCCCCCTGTCCACCCATTAGCCCCCATTCCCCGTCCACTCGCACTCGATATCTTCGGTGAGATCTCGTCCCTCACCCCGCCCCGCCGGTCCGCCGCACCGCCCGCACCACCGAAGACCCTCGGATGCTCGAGCTCGGCAACGTCAGCTTCCATCCGGTTCGGCTTGTCAGAGTTGGACAGGCTGGGATCATACTGCATCGCCAGGGCCGAGAGTGCAAGCTTTGATAGAGTTCCAGCCGCTTTGCGATGGGCAGCTTTGGGATGTGCCTGGAGTGTTCGGCCAGATGCCGCTATTCTAGGGTCCCGGGGGTCCCGGGGATAGAGATGGCTCGCAGTTGCACGAGAGCACTGGGGGGCGTGTTAGCGTGAGCGGGGAAGAGGAGGGGGAGATAAGGAGCGTACGCTGGAACTGGACGTTGGTGGCGAAGGGGGCGAGGTGCGCGGTGCGGAACGCGCGGTTGTGCGGGATGTGGGTGGCTGGGAGCGGCCCGTCCTTCGCGAAGCTCGTCAAGTTCAGCGCCGTGAGCACTGTACCCACACATTCCTGTCAGCTAAACGCCGTATCACGCTCAGTCGAAGGACGTACCGTTGAGCACGACAACCTCGTGCGTCGCGTCAACGTACAGACTCTGCCCGAGCGGGAACGTGCGCTGGTCGTCCGTGAGCGTCGCGTTCGTCGACGAGTTGTGCGCCGCGATCGGTGTGTGCGACAGGCGCGCGACAAGCTCCTGCACGTACCCGATCCCGAGCCCGCGCGCGACGGGCGAGCCGAAGGCCGAACTGTACCAGAAGTGCAGGTCGACGCTGTAGTCGAACCCTTCCCACTCAGCCGGGGTGAACAGCTCGCAGAACTTCGAATAGCCCAGCGCGACCGTCTGCGGAGGTGGTTAGGGCGCGGCGAGTGAGGATGCGGAAGTAAACTCACCTCGTACGCACAGAGCTGCTGCATAGTGTACGCGTCTTCGATAACGAGGTCGACGCCCGTGATCTGCGCGCGGAGCCGGACGAGCGCGTCGCGCAGGTAAATCTCCGCCCACTGGCGCACGTACGGCGTCCCGCGGTCGCCCTTGGCGTGGTCGTGCGAGTTCGTGCACGTCTTCGACGGCGCGAGCGTGTTGTTGAAACCGTGCTCCTCGATCGTGATCAGCTGCTGGTACTTGCCGTCGAGCGGGTGGCCGAAGAAGCCCAGCGCAAAGTTCAGCGCGGAGGACAGCATACGGTCCTGCGACTCGGTGCGGAAGACGGGGAGTGTGTTCGACTCGGTGAAGTTGTGCAGCAGAAAGCCGTATTTCATGCGCATGGAGACGCCGAGGTCGTCTGAGGAAGGGAGATGAGCGCGGGAGGAGGTGCAGAAACAAAAGACTCACAAAGCTGCTGGCGGCCGAACGGAGTCAGGATCTCCTCCCCGAGCTTGTACGTCCTGCGGGAGATGCAGTGGTTAGTTCTATCTCCTTCGGCACGCACGAGCCAGCTCTCGACTGTATGACCTTGCAGTATCCCCCGCCTGGTGTAGCAGGCAGAATCATACGGCTCGCGCATTCGTCTTACTCTGCTCAGGCATGTTGAACGGTTTTATCTGCCCAGATTTTGCACTGCCGTGTCCCAAAAAGGAGCGGATTTACTCACCCTGGAGACGAGGATACGGGTTGCTCCGAGAACAACGCATGTGGACTCACCAATCGTTCAAAAAGTCAAGCTGGCCTCGGGCCTTCCAGGACTCAGACTGCGCGAGGCGGAAAGAAAAGTTTGCGGGGCCGCCATAAGAGGCACCACCTGTCGGATAGCGAGCCCCATGACGATGAAGTAGATGGAGGCCAGTCACCCGACAGCCCTCAGGAGCTTCGGGAGGAGAGTCTACACCAAAAGCGGAGCGAGGAACGGAGAACCAAGGCGAGAGATTGCCCCAGTGCTGGAAGACGTCGAAGGGCTGCTCGGAGTGATTCGCGAGGGTCTGCGGCGCGAGCAGGTGAGCTGCGCCCGAGTGGATAGGCAGAGAGGGGGCGGTAGCGACGAGTGCGGGTTCTGCGCCGGTCGGAGTGGGACCGGCATGGCCGACGTCTGAGGGGAAGAGGGAGGGGAAGACGTTGGAGGGCGAAGGCGGCGGGTAGCGGTGAACCTCGGTCGAGCCTGGTGGGAACGGAGTGAAGAGGTCTGGTGGAGGATGGGAGAGGAAGAAGACGAATCTGAGGGCGAAGGCAGAGAAAAGGCCGGCCGCGTAGGCGAGCACGATCCGCCATGAGCTGAACGTCCCCCGCGTGCTTCGTGTGGCCGGCTCAAGTGCGTAGTCGCCCGCAGGCACCTTCGCGTACTTGGTGGACATCGTCGGGAGAGGGCTGCTCGTCGTGTTCTAGCTCGAGGTCGTCGATGGGGTCGGAGGCTCAGAGCGCGACGGTACGGTCACGCCCAATGCACGTGATCCAAGTCGCGTCCGGGCGCTCCAGGGGGCATCCCCTCTTCCTTCTACCGTCACCTTCTGCGTCGTAGACGTGCACGTAAAGGACGCTGTACATGCCCTCGTCGTCCGATCTCGCTCGCCGTTCAACTTTTTTGCTGACCTGGCGAGGTCAGTCGCACACATTGCGCGACCCGTCCTGCCTCTGCCCTCTCGCGCTCAGACGCGCCAGACTCAATCGCTAACCCGCCCGCCACCCTTGACCCTGCGCTCGACCATCGCCGCGACGCCTTCCATGAGGAGCCTTACACTCTGAGCACGGAGGAGGGGCCTTATGGATACTTTCCCATGCGGATGGGGCAGACGCTAGACAAAGGCCGATACGTGGTCGTTCGCAAACTGGGCTACGGCACCAACTCCAGTGTGTGGCTCGCCAAAGAAGCGAAGTACGTATCTCATTACCCTCGACGTCCGGAAACTGATCATCGGCTCATGTTTCCCAGGCCTGACGGGCATTGTTATGTTGCGCTCAAGATGTTGTCAGCGTACGCCACACTCGTCGAGCGCGAAGACCTCAGTCACGAAATTGCAGTCGCGAAGAGCATGCACTGATTCCAGAAGACGGATCGGGCGCATCCTGGCCACAAGCACTGCGCGATAATTCTGAGGCACTTTGTTGTGCATAGCGCACATGGTAAACATCTTTGCTTGGTTTGAATCCCTTACGGCACGTCGTTGGACGATCTTCTCGAGACCTCTCCGACCCGTCGTCTTCCGCTTCCCGCAGTGAAGACGATCACGAGGCAAGCACTTCTAGCCCTCAGCTTCCTGGAATACAAGCTACAGAGGGTGCACACAGGTTAGTCGATTCCAAGCGCTGCGCATCACATGCACTCACGCACCTCGCAGACGTCAAGGCGGCGAACATTCTCCACCACCCGCGTGCACCCACTGAGCAGATCGACCGCTTCCTCGCGGACAGCCCGGTGCAGATATATGCAGACACGCCCCCGATCGATCCGCGTATATCGCCAGATCCCATTCCGGCCCTGCGGTCGCAGCCGCTCCCCAACTTTGGGCTGGACCCATCGTAGCGAACATTGACATCAGGCTCATCGACTATGACAGCGGTATGTACTATGACCTGTTTTCCACGTCCAGCGATAGCTGACGGCCCGTCTTCTAGCCATACGCGCGGAGGATATCCGCGTGGACACACTTATCTGTACGCCGACTGAGATCCGCGCTCCAGAGATGCTGCTCGGGCATGCGTGGTCGTACCCCGTCGACAGAGATGCTGCTCGGGCATGCGTGGTCGTACCCCGTCGAAGTTTGGGCGGTTGGCTGCCTGGTGGGTATCGAGTCATTCAACTTACGCTGCCCCCGCTGATGTCGATATGTCTGCTAGATATTTTATTTGCTCACGGACGAGACGGTGTTTCCCACCGTGACTCACACCGAGGATCTTCTGCCGTTCATCTATGAGCGCCTTGGGACGTTCCCTAAGGATTTTTGTGCAGCGCTGCACGAAGGGACAGCAATGCATTGACCGCCATGGTGAGCTCTCATAGCTACTTTCGCGAACGGTTGCTGACCTACGGTTGCAGGGATTCCAGTCGGCGCCAAGCGCAGAGACGGCGGTGAAGGCTCCCTCGAGAGCATATTCGCGACGTTGTGCAGTGGCCTGAGCACGCAGGACATCGGCGATACGTGCCGTTTCTTGCGTAAATGTTTGACGATTGACCCGTTGGCTAGGCCGATGGTCTCGCAGTTATTGGAGGATGCGTGGCTGAAGATTTGATGGCGTTCCCGTGGCTGTAGTAGTTTGCATGTGAAACACGCATGGATTGTGCTGCAGACGTACACCATAGTAAGTACTTAATTTATTCTCGAAGGTTGGAGATCAACCGAACTTCAAGTTGTTGATGCGCCGTGAGCTGAACGTGCCTCGCGTGGGTCCGAGATCGCAGCGGCCTGGAGTTCATGGCCCTTTGCGTACATGACGGACATCGTGTGGCCGTCTAGAGGGTTGCTCGTCGTGTTCAAGCTAGAGGTCGACGGCGAAGAGCGCGACGGTACGGTCACGCCAGATGCACGTGATCCCGGTCGCGTAAATAACGCCACGCGTATGGGCGCTTCGGGACAACCTTTCCCTTCTACCGTCCGTCACATTCATCCTCCCGGCGCAGACTTGAACACGGGGGGCGCGCAAGTAGCTCAGCCCATAGTAAGCTTTTTCTTGGGATCTCTTAGTCTCATCCTAGTATGCGACTGACTCAATATTATACGTAGCCCAACGCATAGGATCCAAGCCACTCACCCACTCACCCTCGATCACCGCTTTTCCCCATGCCCGGCCTCAACAATGATGTCCTGCTCGAGGTCATGGCCGCTTCCTCTACAAAAGCCCGCGCTCGCCTCATGGCTACTTCTCGAGCTCTCTACTCCCACGGCGCTAGACATCTGCTTCGCGTAACGCCGTACATTCGTACGGAACAACAGTTGCTCTCCTTCCTCGCCTTCCTTTCCGCCCATCCCGATCGCTGCTCCAAGTTCCTCCGCGACATCGAACTATCCGACTTCATCTGGTCGTCTCCGGCATGCGTCCAACTGGCCGAAGCGCTTTCACGCGCTAGCGGCCTCCAGTGTCTCACATTGAACGGTAAATCCTACGGCGCGGGCCCTACTAGCATCCAAATCCCTGCCTGGGCCGCAATCAGCTCTCCCCAGGAGCTACGCCTACGCAACGCCTACGAGACCTGCCTGGACCTGCTGAAGCAGCACCGCTCCCAATTGAAACGCGTCGTCGTCGACTGCCCACCCAACTTCGACGAATGCTTTTTCTACGATCTCCCAGACGACGACGACTGGACCGTGTACCACCCCGTCCACGTGCTCCAGCACCTCGCGCTGACCCTCGAGGAGCTGCGCACCACCGGCTGGTGCACCCACCCCGAAGTCGAGCCAGACGCGGACATCGTCTACCCACGGCTGCGCACGCTCGCCATGCGGTACGCCTCGCTCCCGCTCACGCTGGCCCTCGTCCGCGCCTACCCGAACCTCGAGCACCTGTCCTTTAATCTTCGGCATGCGTTTCCCGAAGACATCGAGGAGTATCACCTGTGGAACCTGAACGCGCAGTTCCTCGCGGGCCGTACCTGGAGGCACCTGCGCGCGTTCGAGGGCGATCTCGTCGACCTCTACGTGCTGGGCTTAGCGTGCACCATCGAGCGAGTGACGCTCAGACTGCCCCCCAGGCACCGCGACTGGCCTGGAGTGGAGCTACTCACGCCGGTGCTGGCGGAGGCGCGTCCGCGCCATCTCGAGCTCGACGGCTGGCCTGGGGACGTCCGCGGGGCACGGGGCGACGGCAAGTTTGCGGTGTTCACAGGGGAAGGTGCGGCGCGGCTGGAGACGCTCACGATCGAAGGCCCCCTCTGGGGCATGGAGCACGTCGACGTCGACGTGCGCGCAGTGCTGGTACGTCTTCTGCATCAAATTGCGTCCGCATATGCTAACCTCTGCCTTGCCGGCCTGCAGGACGACCTGCTAGACTCGCTCAAGCACTCGCCCCTGCGCCACTTCGCGCTGCACATATACACAGAGCACATCGACCCGACGAGCGGCGCGCAGCCGGGGCTCCCGCTGGGCGCGGCGGAGCAGGCGGCGCTCGACCTCGACGTGGAGGCGACATTGGGGCGGTTTGTGGCGGGCATCCCGACGCTGCGGACGGCGGTGCTGTCGGTGCAGGTTCCGCGCGATAGGCTGAGGACGCAGAGGGCGGTGTTGGAGGATGGAAGTGTGAGCTTTGAGGAGGAGCGGGAGGAGCTGTGGAATGGTCCGTGCCCAGCGGCAGTGTTCCTAGACAGCTAGGTCGATAGTTGCACGCTTGCTGCAAGTTTTGTTTGTTTAGAAGCATGTACTAGTGGTATTAACAGCGTTTGACGTACTAAGCCGCAGCTCGGCACGGGCGCTACGCTTTCTGTTGCTTTCTCCCTCCCACCACCGTCCCAAGCAAACCACGCACAAACATCATACCCTGGGAGATAGAGATATGTAAGTAGCTCTAACCGCTTGTACTTGTAAGGTCTACGCTCGAGTACACGTCTGCTTGTAGGCTACCGTGCACACTGCGGTAACAATCTGTTGATCGCAGGCGTACGTCCGTCGTCAATGCCCCATTCATCTCGCACACTCTGCTTGATAGTCTGCCTCGAACTCAATCGCATCGACCACTAACCATTTCTGCGTCGCACTGTATCCAGATCTATAGTGAGTCCTCACGACTAGACAAGTGAATATAAGTATCTGACACTGCCATGTCCGGAAGCTGTTTATTCTAGTGACGATGCCTTCCAAGTCGCCCACCCCCGTCCTGAACGATGACATCCTACTCGAGGTCATGGCCGTTTCTGACACCGTGGCAGACTGCGCTCGCCTCATGCGAACCTCGCGAATCCTATACGATCGCGGGCCTCCCTTTGTACTCGCCCGCGACACCCCGAGGTTGACAAAGGAGTCACACCTCCTGAGCTTCCTTGCCTTCCTTCGCCGGGAGCCCGCCAGGCGCTGTCCACTCGTTCACCGTCTCGAGTTGTCCCTCGGCGACAGGGTGTTCAAGCCCTCCCTGTTACAGCTCATCGACACCCTCCCTCTCATTAACGATCTGCAGTACCTCTCGATTGATGAAGCCGAATCCTTCCTCGGTTTTCCGGGCTTGAACAACGACCTCGTCGCTGCGTTCGCCACCCTCACATCCCTCCACGAGCTTCGCATGACCGGCGCGAGCCATGCCGCTATAGGTCTCCTCCACGGCATCCGCTCCGAGCCAATACGCCTCCATCTGAACTTTGCCCGCGGCCGCACCCGCGGCCGGGTCAACTCCACCTTCAGCACGGACATACCGGAACGCAACTGGCCGCACTTCCACCCCGTCCTCCTCCTCGCGCGCTGGGCGTCCTCTCTCGAGGAGCTGCACACCGACTACTGGTACACCCACCCGCGCACACCCCCACTCACGGACGTCGTGTATCCACAGATGCGCGCCCTCACGCTCGCGCACACCACGCCCCCGCTCATACTGCCCTTCATCCGCGCCTACCCCAACCTGGAGAGCTTCTCCATCCGGACCTCCTGGCAGGCAAGCACAGACCTCTGGCCGCCCATCGCGTACCGCGAGGAGAACGCCGAGGCGCAGCAGAACGCCGGGCTCGCGTGGGCGCGCCTGCGCGCGTTCGAGGGCGGGCTCATGGACCTGTTCATGCTGGGGCTCGCGTGCCGCGTCGAGCGCGTGGTGCTCCACACGATGGACGCGGACCGCATGCATATGCTCCCGGCGGGGCTTGCGGACGTGCGGCCGCGGAGGCTTGAGCTGCGTGGGTGGCCGGGACACGCGCGCGTCTTCACGTGGGGTAACCCGCTTCCTGTGCTCTTCCAGGCAGAGGGCGTGGAGCGGCTCGAAGAGCTGCTCGTCACGACCGAGCTGGAAGCGAAGAACGCAGATTTTGATATGGCTGCCGCACTGGTGAGTCCTCAATATAGGTGTGCGTCTGTTTCAAGTTATGACCGCTGATGTTCGCTGGGATGTAGGTCAAACTTTGGAGAGGGCTCGAACACTCGCCGCTGCACGACCTGACGTTGCGCATTCTGATAGGGAGCGCTGGAAACGATGCACAGAACCAGCCTCTGACCATGGCAGCGCAGTCGGTACGCGACCTCGACATCGAAGACCACTTGAAGCAGCTTGCAGTGACTGTACCGACGCTGCGGACGGCTGTAGTCTTTGTTCAGGACGCACGCGAGCGGAAGACGCGGGAGGCGACCCTGACGAACGTCGGCTTTGGGTACAAAGAGAGGAGAATGCCGCCGTACGTATCGGCATGATTGGCGGTCGTTGAGAGGGTATGTGAACTAGGACGAGGGTGCACGCTCGTGCTAGTGCAACTAGGGGCCAGTGGCCCTTCTTCTGATGCTTTTCTGAGTTCATAACACATATGTACGGTGCTATTTTTTGATTTCAGGTATCTGAGTGAGTATTGTGGATCTTGCGGACTCAACGTATATGGGTGTATTTTGTATTGATACTCTTCGAACGACTCAGCTCGTCGTCGCTTCTGCCTACTGTGGACCTACAAGGGGCGGCCACAACATTCAGATCTACGTTAAATGTTTGCTCAGATTTCGTCCCCCGATACGATGTATTCCTGCTTGTTGCAACACTCGTGCGTTTTATTTGGCGGGAGACACGATGTAAGCGGTGCCGCATAGCATGGGCGCTAGTGCGCAGTGCGTCTTGCTTCTTCCCTTCCACCATTGTCTGAAAAAGATCACGACGCGCGTCCTAGCCAGCGGGAAACGCAAGTAGAACGTTCATGGTGTGATGAACTTATATTGACCTTATGGTCTACAGAGCACGCCGCTATAGTTCGTTATCGTCTACCAAAAGACGGACGTCGTATGGCTCACCGCGGCTCATCTCAGGGCGCGCCGAGTCTGTGCCTGCCTGTGCGTGCTCCGTGCGGCCGTCTGCATTCGGGCCTGATCCCATCGGCCCCTGGTTTCCTTTACAACGCACTCCATCCAGATCGATATAGTGAGTCTCTCAAAAGCACATACCACCACGTCCGGAAGCTGAGCTCGTTCATTCAGCGTCTGTCGGATCCCACCATGCCCTCAAACGTCCCTGTCTTGAACGATGACATCCTTCTAGAGGTTATGTCCGCGTCGGCCATAGCGGACTGCGCCCGTTTCATGCGCACATCGCGTTTCTTCTACGACCACGGGCCCCTTTTTTTACTCACTCGCAACACTCCACGCTTGACTACTGAACCCGACCTCCTGCGCTTCCTGGACTTTCTCCACCACGAGCCTACCAGACGCTACCAGCTTCTTCGCCGACTAGAGCTGTCCTTCATCGCTAGACTGTCCAACACATCCCTTTTCCAGCTCATCGACGCTCTCCCCCGCTTCACGCACCTCCAGTATCTTTCCATTGACGACGCTGATCCCTTTCTCGGCTTCCTGTACGAAAGTCTTCCTCCTGCCTTTGCTACCCTCACATCGCTCCGCGAGCTTCGAATGGCATGCGTCAGCTACACCTCCATAGACCTGCTACACAACCTCCGCTCCGAGCTGGTGCGCCTCCATCTCGACTTTGCCCAGCCAGACGCACTCGACACCACCTTCGACGTGGACATCCAGCAGGACAAATGGCCGAACTTTCACCCCGTCCCCCTCCTCGCGCGCTGGACCGCCTCTCTCGAGGAACTGCACTCCGATTACTGGTACACCCATCCGTCAATCACGCCGCCCGCAGACTCGGACGTCGTGTACCCGCATATGCGGGCCCTGACGCTAACGCACACCACGCGCTGCCCGTTCACGATGCCGTATGTGCGCGCGTACCCGAACCTGGAGCGCCTGGCCGTCTCGTCCCTGCCTTCCCGGGTCAGTTCCTGGCTCAACGCGGAGGAAGCCGCAGAAGACGCGCAGGAACACGCTGCACGCCGGTTACTCAACATCGAGCAGCAACGCAGCACCGCTGGAAGTACATGGCCGCATCTGCGCACGTTCGACGGCGCGCTGGTCGACCTGTACGTTCTCGGCCTGCAGTGCTCGCTCGAGCGCGTCGCGCTCACCGCGCTGGACGCGAATCACGGGTACATGCTCGGGCCGGCCCTGGCGGATGTGCGTCCGCGCCGCCTCGAATTACGGCAGTGGTCGGTATACGTAGGCATGGATGCGGTATCTGCCGTCCTTCGCGAAGAGGGCGCGGGGCGTCTCGAGGAACTGCTCATCGAGGCGGAGCTAGAAGTTCAATATGCATATGCAGATGTGGCTCGCACACTAGTGAGTTTCTGGCGTGCGTGCGTGTCTGGCCTGGGTATCTGATGTTTCTTGCGGCAGGACAACTTTCTGGAGGCTCTCGGACAGTCGTGTGTGCGCGACTTGACGTTGTGCATTCTCCTAAAGAGATCGCGGGACGATGTGCAAGACCCGCAGCTTGGCAGGACAGAGAAGTTGGAATGGGGGATCGCTGTCCAGGACTATGTGCGACGGCTTGCGGAGGCCGTGCCGACGATACAAAGGGCCGTCGTCTCTGTCCAAAATGTGGACGGGCGGAGGATTCGAGAGGCAACTCTGGCGGACGGGCGCGTTTAGTACGTGGCTAACAAGTAGCCTGCGTACTACCGATTGACTAGGGATCACTAGGTACGTATGGTGTAATGCACTGCTCCGTATCTAATACAGACTGACGCTCCCCCTCGCAGTGACCGCAGAATGCCGGCACGATGCTTATTGGTGATGTTCTGAGCTGCCAGGCAGCTAGCACGAACACGCGCGACATCATACGGACGCGTGAGTAGTACGTGTAAATAGCGAACCTAACCACCGCAAAACTTTTGGATTCAGTGATGGCCGCCGATTGAACATTTCCAGAACAGGATAGATCGCCCATAAAGATACACAACAAATCCCACGGGTTCACCACTTCAACATGGGCCCTTCGTCAATTTTATACCCAAACCACTACCCCCAGCTCTGTCGCTCGCGGATATTCGAAGTAATGTCCAATTTGTCTTGGTTCTGGGACCAGCACGGCGTCAAGGTAGAGTTCGACGGAATCCCTGCGTCATACGAAACGTGGCTGGTCGGCTCTGCCCAGCAGCCCGACTCGGCGCAGCAGATGTTGCTGGACACGGTGGAGGCAGCGACCGCAACGAAGATCGTCAGGATGGATCTCCTCGCGAAGGATGAGAATCTCGTGAGTTCGTCTGTCCGGCTCCTTCCGCGCTCGCGATTGACTCTGGGCTAGGTGGTGAAGGTCGAGTATGAAGACGGCCGACGAGACATTGTGCGCTCGCCACTTCTCTACAAAGAGGACGGGACACCGCGCGCCCATTGTCTCGAGCGGTTCTGGCGAGAAGACGGTCTTCTCAGGTGGCTTGAAACTCAGACACCCCTGCCGGTCCCTAAGGTCCGATACACCTTAGAGGGCTCCGGCCCTGGGAAGTATCTGTACTCTGTCATCGAGGTGCTGCCCGGTACCATCCTTTTGAATGCCTTCGGTCGCATGCCGTACACTGCCAAGGTACACCGTATATTCGTAGTGACTGAGGCGGTATTCGGACTGACGATTATCTACAGGAGTGCGCAATCCGCACCCACGCGGAGTTCGCCGTGAAGTTGTTCCGACTAGATGTACCCCAGCGCATCGGGTCCCTTCGCTGCACTGCAGAGGGTATCCCGGAGGTGATCCCTCAGCAAACGATCAACCCTCAGTACGCTGCACCGCAAGTCTTCGACACTCTCGAGGCGTACATCGACTTCCTCATCTCGCGCCAGCTGCGATCGGAGGACATCGGTACAGACGATGTGTCCCGACGCCGCAGCGAGACGATCCTCACTCGATTTGCCACCCAGCTATCCCGCATCCTCGTGCGGCTCAACCGCCCGGAGCACCGCCGCTGTGTGCTCTCTCACGACGACCTCAATCATACAAACGTTCTCGTGGACGAAGCGGGGGGCGGCGCGGTCAGCGGCGTGATCGACTGGGAGCACCAGTCGACGCTGCCCGCGGTGCTGGCCGCGCAGTACCCGCTGTATATACGCTCTGGCGACTCTCAGATACCGGCGGGCCACTCGGAAAAGTGGATCGAGGACTCGGGGATGATTAGCCCGCAAGGGTTCTCGCTCACGAGTCCAGAGGACGAGGCGAGCCTGCTTGAGTTCTATGCCAATGTAAGTACTCTAGCGACTACCTGGTGCGTTGGAGCTAAAGGATGGGTTCTAGGCGGTGAAGTCCTTGGATGAGGAATACTGGGAGGCACTTGTTGAGGGCGCGCTTTTGCGCTCGGCGGTCGAGTGGCTGGGTTCGCTGCACGACGAGAGCGACTGTGCGGCATTGGAGCGCTGGATGGACCGTGCGTTCCCTGCTGTATAAGTCGTAAGGCCGCGCAAGCACGGCAGAGCCCGCTACCATTGAAGTTTATAGATACATACGATCTCTGAAATGTAGTGCTTCAAGGATATGATATCTGCGCACGAAGCCTTGCCATATCGGTATGGTGGGATGGTGTTTCAATCGCCCGTGCGACCAATTTCCTTGTGAACTAAATCCGTCAAACCCGAGCAATCATGCGGTAACTTGTACGACGGAATGCGAGTTCAAACAGGAAGTTTTGGTTTTACGGTGTGACTCCAGTGCACCCAACCGGCATAAGAAGCACTTATGTATGTTACTTTTGGATGGCAGATAATCCCAAAAGGCCCACGGTGTATGATTGTAGCAGCCCCCCGTATACAACTTATATGGCCGTGCGAGTGTGTGAGGTTGGTGCGAGGGAGAGAACGCGAAAGTTGTGGCATACAATGTATGATAGGCGAATCGATTTGGCGCTCATATTCCCACGGCTTCTGTCAGGCCCCGCTGGCTACACTCTCAATTAGAAAATGTCTTACAGGAAGTTCAAAGCAGTGGAGTAGCGCAGTAACGAGGTTCTAATGATGCTCAGAATTCGTGACTTTTGAAGCAAACTCTTCTGACAGCATCTCCTCCAAGACCCCCTACTAGGTAGCGGGAATGAACGCTGCCGGTGAGCTTGTTGTCGTCCTTTTGTGCGCTGCCCACGCCACAAAGCTGGAGCCACGGTTACGTACGATGTACGTGGTTTCATGTATCTCTCGCGAGACCCTGCGCGTTCAAAGTTTGGCAAGTCGCTGTGTCACTTGCCAAGCTAAACAGCTCCAATAAATTGCTAGTTTCCTGGAATCTTTTGCAGAGAAGGTACGAGTGCGGTGAACGAAAAAAGGAAGACAAGGAGCCTATGAAATCAAAATTCGTAGTCCCAGCCACGACGGCAATGCCCGGCGGGAGTCGCGCGATTCCGCCGGGCGCTCCAGGACCCACCCTTCTCAGTGCCGCCAGCTTCAACGATTCAGCTAGACGCAAACACGCTCACATCGTCAAATAGTGAGGCCTTGAGGTTGGAGTATAGTCACGGTAACTTTACTTGTAAGTGCAGCGCTCTTCATCGTGCATAGGCACTGTCAGGTCAGTACCTAGACTCCGGCTGCGGCTATCATCAGGAATGACCTCAGGAACCAGGGGCCCTATATGGTAACAGGTGGTTGGATTGAGCGCTGGAGACTCCCCCCCAATATGCGGAGACGCCCTGTCTCCATCCGCGGCCATATGGAGCCTATGGAGGCGTTCCCACGGCTTCCCCGCACGACTCACCAACGACGCCCTCCCCGCTCACAATTAAAATCATTGCGGCCGGCCTACGGAAGGCCAGATCTATGAGCTCGTACGTCGAAGCAAGCGCGAGATGAGGTTTGTCGCAGGGATGGAGAACGTGTCTCCATATGGAGGCCCCTGGAGCGCTGGAGTCGGGCGTCTCCGTCTGGAGGATTTGGCTTTTCCTGATGATAGCCTCTGGCTTGCTACTGTCGGTATTCATACTTGGCTTCGCCTATCGTCTCTTTCTATTATCAAATACTCAAATTCGACCTATAGGTAAACCAGTATCTTCCCCATCGCTTCGAAATCCGGTTGCGCTTATCCTGAGTCATGCCTGGCCTCAACAATCTTGACATCCTACTGGAGGTCATGGCCGCCTCCAGTAGAAGAGACGCCGCCCGTCTCATGGCAGCCTCTCGGGATCTCTACTCCCACGGGGCCAAATTTTTACTCCGTGACCCACCGCACATAACGACACAACTGCAACTACTTTCCTTCTTGGCCTTTCTTTCCGCCCAACCCGATGTACGCTCCAAGTTCCTCCGCCACCTAGAACTATCCCCCAAATACAGCTGGTCTACTCCCGTCTGCGTCCTGCTCGCCGATGCGCTTTCACCCGTCCATAACCTCCAATCCCTGAAAATATCCGGCGGATACTACGGCTGCCTTGCGGACCCCGAACTCATTTCCGCGTTGGCTGCACTCCCCTCTCTCCAAGAGCTACGCGTATTCAGCTATGGGCTCGATTGCCTTGACCTCCTGAAGGCGCTTCGCGCCCAGGTAAGACACCTCATCGTCGACTGCCCGGGACACTATCGCGAGAACATCTTCAACGGATACGCGGACGACGACGAATGGGCCGCGCACCACCCCATTACCGTGCTCGCGCACTCCGCGTTGACCCTGGAGGAGCTGAGCATCTCCTGCTGGAGCACCCACCCCGACCCCGAGGTCGTACCAAGCCCCGACATCATCTACCCGCGGATGCGCACGCTTTCGATCGAGTACGGCTCACTGCCGGTGGTGCTACCCCTTATACGCGCATACCCCAATCTCGAACACCTTTCTTTTGGCTTCCGGAATGCCTACCCCGACGAAATCGAGGAGTATCGCCTCTGCAATCTGAACGAGCAGCTCCGGACGGGATGCACCTGGCGCCACTTGCGCGCATTCGCGGGCGACCTTGCGGGCCTCTACGTTTTGGGTCTGACGTGCGCCATCGAGCGGGTGACGCTCAGGTTGCCCGCCATTTACCTCCACTGGCCTGGGACGGCCCGTCTCGGCCCTGCATTGGTGACTGTGCTCGCTAGGGCGCGCCCGCGGTGTCTCGAACTCGACGGCTGGCTCGCGGATATCTGCGGGCCGAGGGGCGACGGCAAGTTTGCAATGTTCAGAGATGAAGGTGCGTCGCGGCTAGAGACGCTGACGATCGAGGGCCATCTGGACGGCACGGAGCATGTCGGCGTCGATGTTTGTGCGGTGCTGGTAAGTACCTCTGAACGTGTCTAGGCGTCTTCCCTTCTGACTTGATGACCGGCAGGATGATCTTTTGGACTCGCTCAAACGCTCACGACTGCGCCACTTCGCGCTGAACATCTACACGGAATATCTCAACCCGACGACCGGCGCGGAGCAGCAGGATGTTCCGCTTAGCGCGGCGGAGCGGGCGGCGCAGGATCTAGACGTGGAGGCGGTCATGGGGCGGTTCGTAACGACAATCCCGACGCTGCAGACCGCGGTCTTTTCCGTGCAGGTCCCGCGCGATGTACTGAGGACGCGCAAAACGACACTGGCAGACGGCCGCATCCAGTTTGAAGAGGTACAGAGGACGCTATAGAGTGACCCGCGGTGGAACGTACCTGGACTCGGACGAGGTACGACGCCGATGAGGAGACTGCGAGAGCGAGCCGCTGTTGGATGCTCTTTCCGGCATGGATCTAACGTATTCAATAACACACCGGAAAGCAGAATCGGTGGAGTATCAGCGTGGGTGTACCACACTGGCGTATTGACACTTTTGGCCCGTCGTCGCATCCGAACTGCGTGCTGCTGGTCCCTGGACGGCTGACCCACGAGTCAAGAGCCTCTCGTCATTCGCGTACAATATCCCTGCCGCTCGGAGACCGCATATTCGGAATGTTAAAGGCTATACATCCAGTGAAACTAGTGTTAACCTAGTGTTCGTAGTATCCAGTCAAATACCAGCGATCTTGGTCGTAAAGTTTGGCATAAACGGCAGTGTCGGTGGTACGGGCGCTACCTGCTCCAAGTCCCTCTTGCTTCCTCCCTCCACCATCCCAAACAAAACACGCACGCTCACCCTACGCGAGTGAGTGGGTGGGTGGTGGTGTTATTAGAATTGCGAGCGCATAAATCAACGTAAGCTTCTGTTTCAAACCTCTCGGAACTCTCACCAGCGCGCCGGTAGCGATTTGTCGTGTACTGTAATGGCACCGGACGGACGTCCGAGTCATCTACTATGCCCTCCTGCTCCCAATGTTCGGCGGTGGACGCTGTATGCTGACTGCCATCATAGATATTTAACTCGCGATTCCTGTAGAGGATGTTTGCGTCAAGACCTGTCCTCAATGATGACGTTCTGCTCGACATCATGGCTGCCGCTCCCATCGAAGTCACCGCCCGCCTCATGGCTGTTTCTCGAGTTCTCTATTTGCACGGGCCGAAATATGTCCTCAGTGAACCCCCTTTCCTCAAGGACGAACAACAGTTGCTCTCGTTCTTGGACTTTCTTTCGGTTCAGCCCGAGAGCCGCTCCAAGTTTGTCCGTCATCTGAAACTGCATTTCATCGACTTGTCAGCTCCCACCTCTCTTCGCCTCGTAAACGCGCTTTCCCTCATGACAAACCTCCAGTCTCTCGCGCTGTCCTGCAGGCCCGGGAAGCAAGTCCGCCGCCGCCATGGGTGGGACGCGAGCCTAATCGCCAGCTTCGCCGCCCACCCCTCCCTGCACGTGTTACACCTGTCGGGCCTTCAAGGAATGGATTCTCTAGAGCTCCTGCAGACCCTCCGCCCCAGATTGACACGCCTCACGGTCGACTTCCCAGCTGGAACCCGCGACAACATCTTTGACGATCTCTTTGGCGTGCTCGAATGGAACGACTTCCACCCCATCCTCTGGCTGGCGCCCTTCGCGGCCACCCTCGAAGAGCTCAGCGTCACCCGCTGGTGCACGCACCCCATGAACCCTCCGATCACCAACGTCGTCTATCCGCGCCTGCGCACGCTCGACATGCAGGACGCCACGCTCCCGCTCACGCTGCCCTTCGTCCGCGCGTTCCCCGCCCTCGAGCGCCTCGCCTTCCGCACCAAGTACCACAACACCTACGGCGACACCGCCGCGCAGGTGCGGCTGTGCCGGAACCGGAACGTCCAAGAGCAGCAGCGCGCGGGGATCACCTGGGCGCGGCTGCGCGCGTTCGACGGCGGCCTCGCTGGGCTGTACGTCCTCGGGCTGGTGTGCAGCATCGAGCGCGTCGTGCTGGCTGGCGTGCGCCATGACCAGCTGCACATGCTCGCCCCCGCGCTGGTGCACGCGCGCCCGCGGGTCCTCGAGCTGGGCGGGTGGCCCGTGGACATCCGGCGGCCCGGGCCGCGGGGCGACGGCGGGACGTTGGCGGTGCTGCAGGGCGCGGGCGGGGCGCGGCTGGAGGACCTGACGATCGAGGGCCGGTTGGAGGGAGAAGAGCACGGCGAGGTCGACCTGTCTTCTGTACTGGTAAGCTACGCTCGCGCGTGGATGCTGCTCGTCTGACGCACTTTCTGTGTGCAGGACGACTTGCTGGACGCGCTGGCGGGCATGCGCTTGCGCCGGTTCGCGCTGAATATATACACGGAGCACATCGACGCGATGGGCTACGACGACGCGGCGGAGCGGCCGCTGGGCACCGCAGAGCGGACTGCGCGCGACCTGGACGTCGAGGCGTACCTGGGACGCTTCGTGGCGGCGGTCCCGGCTCTGGAGTGGGCGGTGGTTTCGGTGGAGGGGCCCCGCAGCGAGTATAGGACGCGCACCGCGACATTTGCGCGCGGCGGCGTGGCGTTGGAGGATAGGACGGAGTTGCGGGAGATGCGCATCTGAGAGAGACCTGAATGTCTAGACGCCATGTTTTCTAAGACTCGGTGCATATGTAACACGTTGCGTGAGGGAGTTGCCCATGGCTGTACCAATACAAGTACTAGGCGCCATCCCTAACCCTGCGATAGGGTTTGCACTCGGAGCGCCCATGTCGCCGATCCACCGCTTCCCTTCGACGTCCATCTCGCGCTCGCGCAGTCGCATGCAGCGAACAACTAACAAACTGATACGGAATCTGGCACGGATGCATGCGCGCAACCCGTACCAATCCCCGCCCGACTTCCTCGCCCTCGCAGATGCACATCCCGCCCTCAAGCCCCAGTACGCCTTCCACACCCTTCGGTGTCATATACAACTGACTGACGGACTACGGTTACTGCAGCATCATCCGCACCGCAAAGGGCGCCACTATCGACTTCAAGGACGACGCCGCCCAGAGGTCCGTCTCCCTCAATCCGAGCGTAGCAATGTCGCAGAGGGTGTTAAACAACGAACAGGGCACTCACGGAAGCGATCCTGAGTCGCGACTTCGGCCTGCGCGTCGTGCTCCCGCCCGGCCGGCTGTGTCCCCCCGTCAGTGCCCTCGTCCCCGCCCCCGCGCCCTCGCCTACGTGTATCTCACATCGCCGCGTTCGCAGGTCCCGAACAGGTGCGTTCTGGGACACGAACTGGATGCAGGGAGCTGACATGCGCGTACAGGCTCAACTACATTCTGTGGCTCGAGGACGTCTTGGCCGCCGTCGCGCTCGCCCTGGGCGAGGACCCGGATCGGCCCGTCAGAGGTATCGACGTGTACGTCTCCCTCATACACCCCAACCCTCTCTCTTGGCTTCCCCGTTTCGAGGTGTACTGACTGGTTACGGAGCAGGGGAACAGGCGCGTCGGCGATATACCCCCTCCTCGGGTGCCGCACGCGCCCGAACTGGTCCTTCGTCGCCACCGGTATGCTTCACACCCACGCGCTACGCCGATCGAACTAGCTAACGCGCATATATGCGGACAGAGATCGACGCGCTCTCCCTACGCTCCGCGCGCGAGAACGTGCGCGCGAACGCGCTCGAGGGCCGCATCTCTATACGTGAGGCGGATCCCGCGGGTCATATCTTCGGACCGCTCTTCGAGAGGTCTGTCTCCGTCTCACATCCTAGCATCGAGACGTTGCGCCTGACGAGACGCAGCGACGGCGCAGGGTACGACTTCACGATGTGCAACCCGCCGTTCTACGGCAGTCGCGAGGAGGTGCAGCAGTCCGCCGAGGGCAAGGAGCACGGCCCGAACGCTGTACGTATCCATCCTTTGCCATTCCACCATTATGCGCGAGTGAGAGACTGATGAGGGGGAGTGGGGTAGGTGTGCACGGGCGCGGACGTGGAGATGATCACCCCAGGCGGGGAAGCGGCCTTCGTCGCGCGGATGGTCGAGGAGAGCACGCGCGCGCAGGATCGGTGCCGGTGAGTCTGTTCGCCTGAGCGCACAGTGGCTGCTAAGTACTGACGAGGGGGATGGAAGGTGGTTCACGTCGATGCTGGGCAAGCTGTCGAGCCTGGCGCACGTCGTGCAGGCGCTGCGGGATCACAAGGTGCGCGTCCCCCTTCCACACCCACTTCCACTTTCTCGAAGATGCGTACTCATACACAAGGCAGATCGAGAACTACGCGGTGGCGGAGCTGGTGCAGGGCCAGACACGGCGGTGGGTCCTTGCGTGGTCCTTCGCAGACGTTCGTCTCCCAGATGTACGTTCGTCCTCTCTCCCCATCCCCACACACTCACGCCCGTCCCCTCTCCAACGTACATTATCTGACGACGCGCCCTAGACACTCGCCCGCCTCTCTCATCATGGGACACAACACCTCACGCCCGCGCGCAACACCCTCCACCAGCCCCTCCCTTTGCCCCCCTCCCGCTCATTGTCGGAGGCGGCGTCCATTACCCGCACCGTCCTCACAGCAATCCCCGGCCTCACCATCCGGCCACACTCTCCCACTCAGTCCCCGGAGGCGCTGGACGTGGCGGTGTCCGCAGCGGGCTGTACGTGGTCGCGCGCGGCTCGGCGGCGAAGACGCGACTCCGACGCGATGCATACGGACGCCGACCCCGACCCCGCGCTGGTTTGTAGAATGCGGTGCGAGGAACGGGGAGAAGGTGGAGGGGAAGAGGAAAAGGGAGAAAAGGGCGCACAGCTGGTGTTTGACTGGACGAGGGGACGGGATAGGGCGCTGTTTGAGGGCCTTGCGAGTCATGTGGGGCGGAAGGTCGTCGCGGGACTGTCTTCCCCTAGTATTAGTTTAGGGAATGGATGATGCACTCTATCTGTAGTCCAAAATATCATCGTGGCCGCGAGCACCTCGGTCGAGCGGAGGGAAGGGAGAAGGGAAGGCAGAAGGAGGCAAAAAGGGGCCCAACCGGGATTCGAACCCGGGATCCCTTGCAATCGCACCGAAGTACCCAAAGCAAGTATCTTACCTCTAGACCATTGGGCCGATACAACGGGCCCTTTGTGCAGCTCCATGTCCGTACCACCGCGAGCCTGTGCAACGACGTCATGGGCTCCGCCTCCGCCTCGAGTCTCTCCGCCACACTTGGCCGGTATATAACCCGCCCCAGGCGAACGCTCCCCACGAACGCACGCCCTCCACGACCACGCCAGCCATGTCTTCCCCTACCACGACGACCGACTCGCTCACCTACCCGCCCCCCGCCCGTCTCTCCGCCTCCGTCGCGCGCATCCAGGCCCAGCCCGCCGCCGTCCCCGCCATGTCCGCCCACGCTGCGCCGCCCGCGCGCCAGACGGGGCCTGCTGAACGGATCCGCGGAGGATGCATCCCGTGTCCGGTGCGTGTTCCTCTCTTTTGTTAGGTTGGGGAGTGAGGACGATGCTGACGATGGGGTGGATGTGTAGGGCGGGGGCGTATGTTATATCATCCCGATTCCTTGTTGCTGTTAGACGGTCTGCGCGCGGTATGTCGTCGTTTTGTCTTTACTTGTGGCGTTGGCTCACTCTCTTTTGTAGACTGCATACACGAAACGACTCCTATCGTATCCCTCTACCACGACATATAATGCGTGCGCAACAGCATCTGTACCGCGTACACGCACGACCCCGGACATTCACATGTATCTGTAGATATCGGACTGGACTATCATAGCACTGAAGTGTTCCCTCTCTCCTTCTACGAGTGTGTCGCGCTCGTCGTTCCGCTGGGTGGTTGACCGGTTTTGCACGGTCTTCCTCCGGTTCCGTGCGCAGTTTTGGTCCTGCGCAGGCTCGCTACTGAGCTGCACTGCTTACGGTCACGCAATGCGCCTCGTACAGCTGCGCACCACCTTGGCAAGTACTTGGTTGGCCTGGATGCGGTGTAGGCTTGCGCACCGGTCCGAATGTGAGTTTTCTGTCCCGCCCGAGTTTGCACCGGCTGACGCGAATGCAGGGGTGTGCCTCACCGCGCCTTGTGGCGCATCTAAACCGCGCATCTCAACGTTCTCAGCACTCGTGGGCTGGACGCCGATGTATACGACGCGGGTCTGTAAGACTCGCTCTTGATACATTCTGTGGGCGACTTCGCAGACCGACAGCTTGTTTTCCTCCTACATAGGTCGCGGGCTTGCGTCCACCCGGCGCACATACTCCGTGCGCCACGCTGGCTGCTGTCGCGTCGACTCCGCCCTCCAGGAGTGCCTATCACGCGTGCGTAAGTCCCATCCGCGCGGTGCTCATCGCCCAGTACAAGCTTACCGCGCCCTCTCGCCGAAGTCACACTTTGAATCCTACAGGACGGATGCCAGGGTCCCTGGCGAGACCTGCCACCACCGACGTCTATCCCGTCACCCCAAGGACATCGCTCTGCGAATGGATAGGTGCTGATCGCGTTCTCGTTCCTGGCAACCTGTTCTCGGTGCTGGCGACCCGTTCTCAGTGATGGCGATCTGTCTACGCGTCTGTCCTGAGGCGCAATCGGCCCTCCTGCGGACACCCTTGCGGTACGACACTGGGCGACAACTACGACCGCGACGACACGGACACGGCGGGTATGTCCCGAGAGCTGCACTAGGCTCGTCCTCTTCGACCGTCCTGCCTTCCTTGAGGGCACCGGGGTACCCCGCATGGATCGCCATAACAAGTTTCTAAACCTCGGTTCCCGCTATAAGCCCCGCTACACGATAAGGATTCGCCCCCATCTCACCACATTTCCCCGTCCTCCACGCATGTCAGCCACCCAGTTACACCTCTGCATCCTCTCCTCCATCTGCCCACATCTACTCCGAAATCCCCGTCAAGCAACCACCCCCCAGCCCAAGCCCTCGCGTCCTCTCGCGCTCGCGCTTGTTCCTACCCCGTGACCGACACTGCCTGTTCTGCCTTTGTCGGGAGCCGTTGCTCGTGCGGGCTAGCCGGGTCTCTCTCGGTTACGCTGTTGATATGGTGGGTGCAGGGGTAACACAAATGGCTGCGAACGTTCACGGGTGAGGCGATGGAGAGACCGGAGGCGAAGGGGCGGGATGCATGGTAGGCCGGCGAGACGGCTGGGCGTGTTGGTATGGAGGTTAGGAGGGACGGCGGGGTCTGTGTAGAGGTGAAGATGGGAAAGGAGTCACTGGTAGGTATTCGTATGAGTGAGATGTTGTAGAATGGTTACAGTCTCGCGAACCGGTGGTTTTGTATGGTGTAGCCTATGGACATAACGAGATGGTTTCAAGGGCGCGATAGCTTTCACATTCCGGAGAGGCGGACCAACGCGAGATCTGTGTGACCTTGAACTTGCCGTTCTGTTTAGTTTAGAGTTGGCGATCATTTAGAAAGTAATGGGTGTGCCGTGCACGCGTCGGAGCTTTCTTGTGCTACTAGTACTAGCATCTGCGCTGTTACGATACTCTGTTGAGGGCTTGTAAGAAGCAGGATATGACATGCTCGTTTGTTTCGCGGAAGATATATCATCCCCGGGTCCACTAGGATCGCACGTCACCGTCGTTAAATCTGCGCATCCGATCTCAGAGGGTGTACGTATCGAATCTGTCATGACATGATGCCATACACGCGCTGACAAGCCGTCCCTGCAACCCGTATACAGCCCTATACCTCTCCGATGGCTGTCGCAGTGTCTCCCGGATAAGAGACGCACACTCGCGCACCAGAGCTCTCCGTTTCCCCGTCCATTTCCTCGTAGATTGTACAAACAGCTGGTATACAAACACATTACCTTTATGCCCCTCACGCGCTCCCCACGCCTCCTTCTACGCAGCCTTTCCCTGCAGCTCCTTCACGATAGCCACCGCCCGCACAAACTTCGCCTTCTCCTCCTCAGTCGGCACGACCGAGCTCTGCCCGCCCCCACACCCCTGCGGGCCGCCGTTCTGCCACACGAGGTCGTCCGAGCCGAACGCGATGCTCGTGTCGAGCCCGTAGATGTCCGCGCTCCCGGGCGGTGATTCGGTGGGGATCGTGCTGAGGATGTGCTTCAGCTCCGCGACGAGCGCGGCGGTGTGCGCGTCCGCGGCGGAGAGGGACTTGGGCGCGCCGTCCTGCAGGGAGGGCGTGCCCTTGGGGCGCACGGCGCTCGTAATGTTGAGCAGGTTCTGCGTCGGGATGCCCGTGATCGTGATGATGGCCTCGGGCGTCGGGGGCGCGAAGCCGCCGGTGATACCTGTATGTAGGTGAGCGGGGCGTTATCGGGGCTGCGATTGTGCGCGGGAGACGTACCGTGCTGGAGGCGGAGCGAGAATTCGGGGATGGACATGATGGACGTGCGGATGCAAATATGTGTGGTATACAAGATAGTGGTGGGTTCGAGGAGATGGGGGGACGAGGAGAGGAGGTGCGATTGGGACGAGGACGATCGCGCGGCTTAAGAGCAAGAGGCGCGGTGGCGCCAGTCGCCCGCTGCGCCGCGGCTGTGTGACGTCACGCGGTCGCCCAGGGCGGGCAGAGGTAGACGGGCCGGGAGACCGGGGCTAGCAGACGACGCAGTCCTCCTTGAAGCTCAGGTTGTACATCGTCTTGTCCACCGTCTTTTCGATCTTCTTCCAGTCTGACCGCCGCTGGATGAACTCGTAGATATCCTGTTCAACTGCTGTTAGTATCATGCGCGAATTCGAGGAATGAACGCCGATGCGCACCTCTGGCCGATACGCGCCCCCGTATCGCGTCACGTCGCGCACGATTTGCGCGAGATCCTTCGCGTCTTCCACCACGTAGACGTGCCCGAGCATCTTCAAGTAGGCGAACTCGGCCGTAATACTCGCGACGCGGAGGGACGCGATGAATGCATGGTACGCGTTCAGGTCCGCGATCACTTGGAAGCCACCGTTCAGCGAGATGATCTGCCGCTTCAGGTGTTTCTGTAGGATGCTACGTCATCGGAGTAAGCCAGTGCGCGTGCTTGACACTAATGGGTTGAAAGGGGAAAGCTCACGCGATGAGGCGGATGCCGACCTCCTGGTAGAACACTTCCAGGACCTCCTTGCTCGTACTGCCCTTGAGCAGTTGACAATGCATTTGCAAGCACTTGATCGCTTCGCGACAGCCTTCCGTGGGCCCGAGCTCCATTGGACTGTCTTCGGGCGGGTAGTACTCCCGCGGTTTTGTCAGCTTCAGGATAATGTGCTCGACCTACGTGCGCAAATGTGAGCGTGGAGTACGGTAGCGACGCGGGAGAGACGAACCTGATTCATCAGCGCGTCCGTGGCTGCGTTCAGACCACCCGCAACAGAGTCGTCCAGGACGTCTTCGAATCGCTTCTTCTCGCGTACGACCGTGTTCAGGAAGTCGTGACGGTCTATGTGAGGCGCCTTTGAGCAGGCAAGTCAGCAAACATGAGCGGGAAGGAAGGACGAACACCACGTACCAGCTCCTTGTCGAAGTAGACATGAATCATAGATTGCATCGTGTCTCCGATATGCACTAGCTCGAAGAATTGCAGAAGCGGCGCGACACTCTTCGTCTCCTCGTGCTCGTCAGGCTTGTACGACTTCATCTGTTGGATAGCTCTATAAAATTACAGTCAGCACTGCAGCAGAATGACGGGGATGCCGCTTACGTGTCGAAACCGGGTTTGATATGACGCTCGCCCAACGCCTGGAGCAGGAGACAAAATATTTCCTCAATGGTGTCGCGCACGCGGTGGCCGTACGCGCCTGGGTACCCCGAGAACGTCTCGGCGCGCTTCATGGATTCGCGGTCGGCGTGAATGAGCTCTAATGCGATATCGAGGGACAGCAATAGGTCGAGGTTGTCGAGCGCAGGCGGATTCCGGGCTGGGGTTGATAATCGAGTAGAGTCGACGGACGTCGCAGCGGTACTCAGGGAGTCAGCGGTAGTCGATACAGTTAACGAAGCTGGATGCATTTCGGTCAGCACGACCCCGGCGTACAAGAGGGCGTGAACACTTACATCGTGCAGTCGCGGTACTCGCTCGCTTCTCGTCCAACACCTCCCCCGAGCCCTTCTCATCCTCCTCGTCCTCCTCGTCCGCCCCGATATCGAATAACGTCCGGTCTCCACCCTTCTCGAAGTCGCGCACATACCCGTCCTTGTCCTTCCCGCCCGCGCCCCACGACGACATGCGCGCGAAGCTGGGAAACGAGCTCGTCGACGCGGTCCTGGAGCCGTTGGCCGCGTTACTCGCGCTGCTGTTCGTCGCGCCCCAGCGCTGCGGGTTGAGCATGGCGATGCCCTGTACGGCGGCGCTGCTCGTCGTAGTGATGGCTGCGCCGACGGCGCCGACGGTGCGCGGGACGATGGTAACGGGGAGGAGAAGGACGTCGGTGAACGAGGCGAGGACGGTGCGTTTGACTTGTGCGGGGTTGTGGGACCCGAGGAAACGCGCGGTTTCGGTATTCGGGGAGGCGTTCGCGACGGCGCGATGTTCTGAGAGCTAGGAAAGTGTACTGAGTTAGCAACACGGAGTTCAGGAATTGAGTGGGAGACGCACTGTTTTCTCCCATGCGCGGCATGTCATTTCGAAACTTTGCTTGACAAACTCGACTTCCTCGTCGAGGTACTCGTCCATGTTCGGTTCGAACATTCGATAACTGAAGGCAATCAGCGCGCAGTAGCACATAATCAAATACGAGCACTTACACCACGTCTTCGGCCTTCGTCTTCGGGAATTGAGGATCTTTCGCGGTCGCGACCTTCATGATCACTTCCACCATCCGCCACGCCTCCTTGAAGCTCGCGGCGGTTGCTTTGAGGAAGATCTCATTCGAGATCTCGCGCGCCCGCGTAAGCAGCGACGTGACGTACTCTCCTACCTGGGCGGCTTTAGCGCATGCTGGGTAAGGGGAGCTGCTGGACACTCACGACTTCGTTCGCGAGGCGATCCGAGAACGCGACGAGCACATTCGCGTCTGGAGGAAAGACGCGCACCGCGCGCGAGCCATGTTCTTCGAGCGCGCGCAGGAGCTCGACCATGAACTCGTCCATTGCGTTGAAATCCAGCTCGGACTCAGCACTATTCAAGCCAAGTTAGGCGGACGCGCGCAATAAAACGGGAAGATACTCACGTAAAGTTGTCAAGTGGCTTCCATTTACTTTGTTCATAGAATATCTCCAACTTTTCTGCCCACACCTTGCCAAGCTCCCACTCCGCACCCGCGCCGTCCCATACCTCCCAGCTCGCCTCCGCGGCTTCGCGCATCCCGGCCTCGTCGCCCTTGCCATCCGCGACGTCGAACGCGGTAAGCAGGCCGTCTTCAAAGCGGTCGATCGCGGCGCGGAGGGCGGATCCCAGCGTTTCCCAATTGCGCAATGGTTTCACGGAGGGGGAGAGGAAGCGCGAGAGTAGGCGCAGTGTGTGCGCTTGGCTGCGCAGTGGAGGCGTCGGTGACGGGAACAGGCTGGAGAGCACGGCGTGCGGCGGGGCAGCGAGCGCGGGGAGGAGCGGTTTGAGGAGGTTGTGTGCGCGAATATACTGAGCGCGGAAGGTCTTACTCGCTGGTCCAAGGGTGAACGCGGGCGTGCGCGGCGTGGGCGAGCTGAACCCGCCGCCCCCGCCGACAAAGTCGCCCATCTCGTCCGCCTGCGCCTCGACGGACGCGAAGTCCCCAAAGTCATCGTCAAGACTTTCCGTCGCGAGCGTGGGCGGGGCGTGTCCGCGGTCGAGCCCGTTCTGCACCTTCACCTTCTCATCGAGGACGTCGAGGACGTCGCCGAGGCGGGCCTTCTCGAGCCCAAAGGCCTTCCAGCGGGCCTCCCAGACGCGCTCGTCGCGGGCGAGCTGGCCGAGGGCGCGGGAGCAGCGGGCATAGGCGGGTATGTCGGGTACGGCGAGCACGGAGAGGACGAGGATGTGCACGTCGACGGGGAGGCGGCCGATGACTTGGAAGGGTGCGGGCGCGTGTACTCGCGTGGGCGGGTGTGCTGCACTCGCTCTATGGAGTGAGAAGCGTTTGGAGGGTGCAGAGGCGGGTGCGGGGGTGTTGTACAGCCGCGTGGGCTCTAGTGTAACGAACTTGTCCATCCCTGCACGTATCTAGCGGACAAGCCAGTCCAGAGAGCTCAGGTAGAGTGTGTAATGGTAAGCAGCGAGATAGACAGCATGGACGGAGTGAGCGAGAACAGAGCGTAAGGGGATGGTGGTCGTGGAGGTTCGTGTACAAGTCGTGTAGTAGCCGGCATCCGAGCGCGACTGCGGCCGAAGAGGATCATCTCCAATCCAGGCGTCTCGTATTCCGAGATTCACGCCGTCTATTTACGCTCGAATTGTCGCGGTCTTGTGTGGTCTATCTTTGAACACTGGTACGATACATGCAGTATCGCGAATACCGGCGGGTCGGGTAGACAGCAATCACATCAAACGGCGACGACAGTATGATACACGACATTTGCGCACGAGCACAAGAAACAGCCCACCACCCTACCCATCCTTTTCCTCGTCGTTCCCAGCATCGACTTTCGGTGGTCCACCGACGACGGCGCCACCTTCCCTCACAAGGCTCTCCCTCGCGCCTTTCAGGGTCTCCTCCCGCTCCGAGAGTACCTTCTTGTGCTCGGTAATGCTCGTATGCAAGGTCGCATAGAGCGAGAGCTTCGACCTGTGAGTGGTGTGTTCCGTCACCGAATCCAAATTGCGGACCGAGCCGCACGCACGTCATATGGTCCTTCACCTGCAGGTAAGCGCGTACGGTCAGCATGGGCACGCTCCGAATATGCGGCCCGAACGTACATAGTCCAACATCTTGCCAAACCTTCCACCGAGCTCTACCATGGGAGAGCAACGTCCGTATGATGTTTTGAGAGGATGGCGCGAGCACATACCGTCGGCACCTTTCGACCACTCCTCAACCGAGCAGTCCGCCCACTTCCTCCGCGCTTGCTCGTACGCGTCCGCGTGCCCCTCGACGAAGGTCTCGAGATCTTGGCCGAGGAGGCGGTACAGCGCCTGCCGACCATCGGACTGGTCGATCATGCTCTTCGGGGGCTCGGGTTGGAAGTGCGCTGGCGGTGCGAGAAGGGGCACGCCGTGCGCGGGCGTGACTGCGCGGTCGAAGTCGCCACCCGGGTAGCGAGCGGGGGTGCCCCGGCCGTTGTACGTACCGGAGGGGTCGTTCTGCGCGCATATAGTCGCAAGAAAAGGCAGAGCGGAGGGCTACGCACCTGGGGAGCGGTCTTGTACCGCTTTGCGCCCGTCCCATACTCGTATTCATCTTCGTCCTCGTCGGTGCGATCGGGGCGTTTGGCAGACCGCCTGAGCCCTTGCTGGTAGTGGCCGTCGTCGCCGTCAGAGAAACCGGAGTCGTCTGCATAGCCCGCGTATTCGGAATAGCCGTTGACAGAAGGTACCTTGCGAGAGCTGGTGTGCTCTTCTTCCTCGGCGACTTCATGTATGCTGGCGAGAGACGGCTGAGAAGCGGTGCGAGAGCGGAGACTGTGGTAGGAAGCGTCAAGACCGTGCGAGAAGCGAAATTGATCGGGAGGGGGGCCAGACATCGGCTTGCCCTGCATCTCGAGATGGGTGTCGAAGGCCGGAGGTTTGGCGGAAGTGGCTGTATGCGCCTTGTTGGCGCTGAACTCGTCGTTCTGACCAGACGTCTGGGCGGGAGCAGCTGGAGCTTTGAAGGTGTTCATTGCGGGAGGACCTGAAGACTGGAAAAAGGGTGAAGGGGGCCGAGGATTGCCAAGACGAGCCTGTTGAGCGGGAGCAAAAGCTTTTAAGCCCGGTGCAGAGTTGTCGACAGACTGGCGAGATTTCCCAGAGCTAGTAGTGTCGCTCTTTTTCTTGCCGAGGCCAGAGACGTTGAGAGGCCTGAAGTTAGCAGCGAAAACCTGAGCAGAGGAGAGATCCGAGTTGCCAGAGGACGCTAAAGGGTTTTCAGAGTGGTTTCTAGCGTCGCCAGGGGGGCCAGTGGGAGGGTCCAGGAGACCATTGGGACGGAAATGCTCATGTCCACCGGCCGGAGGAGACTTTACCGGTACAGCAGCGGCTTTGGGCTCTGCAGTGCGAGAGGCCGGGCGTTGAGGAACAAAAGGGGCCCTGGCGCTCATCGTACGCTAAGTCGCCGACGAGGGAAAGGAGAACGGGATGAACGACGAAGAGGACGTCGTGGTCGAGGAAAGAGAGACGCGTCAATCAAGCGCTCGTCGAAGCGCGATTCACATGCAGACATGACCCGGGCCGGACGGCACCGATCACGATGTGGGGTAAATAGCGTGGGGCGAACTCGAACGCATCCTCTCTCTCCCCCCTCATCATCTACCGCGCCATTGGCTACCGAGGTGAGTATTGTCAGCTCGTACAGCGCTGCACTGGGATAACAATTGCGACGACCCAGCGGAGGCATGTCAGACTCAGATCCGAAGGCGTTGCGAGGACGAGAGCGCAAGCTCTATCCGTTTTTCCTTTCCTACCGCACGCGCTGGTGAGCACCGTTCCTTGCGACCCCGCCTCGCATTCCGAGCCGAGCTACGTCCCCTAGGATCGATAACGACCAGTACTCTCATGTCAACAACTCCATCTACTATCACCTTTTCGACTCCGTCGTCAACACCTACCTCATCCAACACGCACATCTTGACCCCTCGCGCTCCCGCCTCATCGGCCTCGTCGTATCCTCCTACTGCCACTTCTTCTCCCCGGTCTCATTCCCAGTCATACTTGACCTCGGTCTACGTGTGATAAAGCTTGGCTCTAGCTCTGTCACATATGAGGTCGCTGTTTTTGAAGAGGGAAGCCATGTGCCGAGTGCTATTGGCGGCTATACCCATGTTTTTGTGGATCGGCACACGAGGAAGAGCAGCCCGGTGGATTCAGATACAAAACTAGGCTTGGAAAAGTTGCTTCTGCTCAATTCTAAATTGTAATTTTGGTACCACCATTGATGAGTGCGAGTCGATTAGGTGAAGTGCAGCTTTTAAGGGCGACATATGTAAAATCAGTTCTCATATATCCTATATATTGTACCTTTTCCACTGTGAAAGTGCCTACTCCCTAAAGTGACAAGATCAAAGTTGCTACACTGCTCGACTCCAGGGTAGTCTCTGCAAATCTTCTTGGCACAGAGATTGCAAAATAATATGGTACCAATACTGAGGGTGGGAGGTGTGGCATCAGCAAAATTGCACGAGCCCTGCATAGGCATGCAGGCGCTGGCAGGGTCTGCATACCCCAATCCACATTTTGGCCGGTTGCAACCATCAGCAAAAGTCGCAGCGCGCCTGTATACCCATGCCGCGGGATGCAGACCTTGCAACCGCATGCATACCTTGCACACGGTGGCGGGGTCTGCATCAGGCGAGCAATGGTGCACTTAAAGTTTGCATACCTCACATCCCCATGCAGACTCCACCACCGGTTCCGAAGACAACCAGGGCCGGCGTAGTATGCATGCGCTGGTAGGGTGTGCATGCCGTTGTATGGACCTGCAGATGGATGGAGTATATAGCACTTTTTAATATTATATATCACTCCATCTACTAGCTACTGTACGTGGGATGCAGCTTGTGATCACGTTGACCTTTATTGCTAGTTATACGAAATGAACAAATACATGATGATACACGAACCGTCCCGAAGCGGTCTATGAGTCCACTACCGGAAGCACGAGAGGGCGAAGAAGTCGACAGAATGAATGCAAGAGCAGTGAGCGAGGCTGGGAGACATCTGGCGACAAGAGGCAAACAGCAGCATGTTGGGCATAGAGGAGCACAGTTTCGGCGAGAGCAATGAGGCCGGGAGAGCGTGCAGACGAGCTAGTGAGAGCAGATGACAATCGCGCCACAGCGAGCATGGAAGCGGAGAACGGTCGCGCCGTGGCGAGGGTGGAAGCAGAGGCGCGGGTGCAGATGTGGGACTGTTAGCCAGAGGAGGGACCGGGGCTTGATGAGCCTTGCGGGTGCGAAGGGCCTCTATCAAGCCTCGCGCATCAGTATGGCGCAACACCAATAGCCTTCAGATCACGTACCGTCTGTGCGCACGTGACGTCGCCTGCCAACAGGCCTTTCTCTCGGATTTCTGACAGTGCTTGAGCCGGTCCGCTGCAGTCTCTTCCTGAGGCTCCTCACCACGGATAGGCACAGCCGGTGCGACACCATAAACCTGCCTAAAAGAAAGGTCAGCCAGAACATTCAATGATCTATGGTGTACATACATGTCCCACCACGCTAGCGTCTCCTTGCACCACAGGGACTCCGCGTCACGGAAGAGGCTCAAGATCCGCATGTAGAGCTCGAGATAGCTGAACTTCCTGACATCGTCGAGCACATTGAACAATGTTTGGCTAGTCAGGCTGAAATGGGCCTGCATATGACGATATTAGCATACCATCTAGACAACGAGCGCACAACTCACAAGGATGATAACATATGCGATACTGCGCAGGTTCACAAAGCCAACATTGTACACACGCGAGATTGGCTGTTTGCCAGCACAGGGCCCAGCTGCAACTCCTGGTAGGAATGTGTTCGAACGGCCGGTCCACACGCACTTTTAACACTGCGCACGGACATTAGCATGATTCACATCGAGATTGCTCCGTGTGCGGCTTACCGCAACGAGTAGCAGGCTCCTCAGAAGGCCGATGTGCTCGTCACCTTTGCCGGATGAAGTTGCTGCGAGCTTCTGGTCGTAGAGCAGAGCACAGTATGCTCCTGGCGTGATCTTGATTGTGCCAGCTTTGACGCGCTTGCGGAACCTAGGTGGTCATTAATAAAGTGCGTGCATTTATCCACATGTACGTACACTTCCGGATCAGCATTGTACGTGTCGAGGAGCTCTTGTGGGCACAACAGACGTGCGGTGTAGTCATTTTCCCACCCGTGCCTGTGCTTCACAAGGTTAGAAGGTGCTTCAGAATACGAAGGATCGAGGCGCAATCCTTCCTTGCAATAGAGGAGGAGGATGTCCTTGCGGAGCGAGTTCGTGTCGTCCCCTTGGGATGTGCGTGCGAAATGATTAACCGGTAATATATGTCAGCGTGGTCCTTAAGCACCAAATAATACTCACAAAGTTTGTATAGGTCACGAGCTGGTCTGCATCGAGCAGGGGTAAGTCCGTCTTGAGGTTTGGCATAACATCGGGAATGGCATGGTATTGAAAGATGTATTCGCGCTTTTCCTGCCGCTCTGTCTCCCTGGGATGATGGACGTCAGGTGTAATCTAGTACAAATAAACCTGATGCGCACCTATAGCCTTCCGCTTGTCTGCCGCACCCTCAGAGTCGGATCCTAAATCAGAGTCGGACTCGTCGTCCGAGTCCGAGAGTTCAGTGCTGGTGTTGGCGTAGTGCTGGCCAAAGACGAGTGCATCGTGCACATTGACGAACAGATGCACCATGCAGGAGGCCAGACGGGCTCCAAATTGGTAGCTCTTGATCTCGTCGCTGACGCTGTAGGACCAAACAAAGTTAGTAGTGTGACTATATGCGTGCATATACTCACATATCGGCATGGGTGTCATGGTACATGTAGCTGAGAATATTGTTGAGTTTCTTCTCGCGCTTGCGAGTGTGCATGTCGGCTTCCGGGTCCGGGCTTCTGGCACGCTTCCCCGTCAGGACAGTAGCATTAGGCTCCTGTCCAGATGTATGCGGCGGTGCTTCGAGGCGTTCTTCGGATACCCGTACCTGGTCGTTGGCAAGCAGGTTGTCTGACGGTGGTGGCGGGATGTTGGCAGCAACAACAGGGATGGGTGGCAGCGATGCGGATGGGGCGGGTGGTATAGGAATTGTACGTGGAGGTGCCTGGGGCTGGAGAGCTTCTTTCTGTTTGTTCTTTTCCTTACGCTTGTCCTTCTTGCTGGCTTTGTCCTTCTCTGACGATCTACCCATAGTGAGTGCGAGGAAAAGCGAGAGCAGGAGGTGGGAGGAAGGCAAGACGCATCACATCGTGTCAGACCCTGACTTGGAGAAGGAAAACTTGCGCATCAGCCACCCATCACGTGAGTGCACCGATCCCAGCCCCAACTGTACAGTAGCACCTTGACACTTTGGACAGCTCCAGATCCATCGTCTGGCAGCTTCCACCTGACCGCCATGAAGCTCGTCTGCTTGGCCTGCATGGATGAGTTCGACGGGAGCCGTGCACTTGCCACTCACAAAGCTAAACATTGCAAAGTCCTCAAGACCAACCTCGGCACCATGCTTGCAAAACGGAAGGCAGAAGAGGACATTGCCCAGGTGGCAAAACGTGCGCGCAAGCGTGAAAGGCAGGAGGCAGAGCAAAATGCCCTCGCGCTCGCCAATGATATGGCAAGTATTTATAATATACTGCGCTCACAGTTATACTCACACCTTTGTTCCCAGTTTGTTGAACCGGAGGCAGTAGAGCCTGCAGTTCCTGTGGCGCCTGACCCGGTGACAGTCAGCTGTGCAGGAAGACTGTGCAAGGTCCCCGCAAAGTTCCGGAACCTCCTTCCCACAAGCTACACTGGTCTGCCAGCACGTGTCCTCGCTCATCACCCTCCCCCTGCTCCTCGCCTCCCTACGCCAGCTCCTGCAGCCCCTGCCTCCCCACTACCTGCCGCAAAACCTCCACCCTTGCCCCACAAACACTCTGCCAGCTCGTGTGCACACTTACCCAACGAGCCGCCTGTCTTCTGAACAAAGCCGAATGCATTCGGTCTGTACTGTGTATACACCTATATGCCTCAACGCACACCGCACAACACAACCTGGGAGGCTGTTTTACGATTGATGAGGAACAAAGAAATCGTTTCTTATGTAGGGACTTTCCTGCCAACTCGCGACACATAAAATGAGCCCCGTGGGAAAATATTTTAAAACTCCGCTAATCAGCCATTAGTTTGGAAATAGGCGCCACATACATCCTCCACTTACAAAATTAGGGTTAGGGTCCTCCTCCATTAGGAATTTTAGGGTTAGACACTAGATTGCCATATCTCTGTCAGTTTTTAATATATATACATGATTGTTTCCATGGGAGGCCCAGTACATGGACATAAATGTCATGTGGACACATTATAAACACTTGGGCATATTCTTGGCTATAAACAATGCAGGAGCAGCATTAGCCTACAAAGTGGTATACAATGTACCAAATCGGATTTCTTGCAGTGATCTGATTATTAATAAATGTTGATCTATATATCATTAGACTCTGCTGGCCAAGCTCTACACAATGGAATGGTTTCCTAAGCCTCATATGCAGGATATAGTGCAGAAATGGCCAAACAATGCGATTTAAAGAAGGGTTCACAGGGCCTGATCCTGTCGGTCAAATAGGCGCCGAAAGCGTGATTTGGTGAAGTCCGATGGGCGCTAGTAGATCACGCTGGCCCAGCGCGATCTACTAGCGCCCGTGGTACTTAGAAAGATTTTTGAAAGCAGGTGCTTTTTGGCAGTATTTTGCTCGCTGTTTCACCAGTCCTCATCCATATAGCACATATTATATATCATTATAAAGCCCTTCACAGGCTCTACAACATGGTGCTGTCATGGTCTTGATTTACCCCAGATTGGGGATAGAAAAAGGAAATACTTCAATTGCAGTCTTTTAATCCAACACAGAGCAGACAACCTGGGGTTTTGATCACTCTAGTAACTGCCAATGATGCAAGAAATAGAATAATATATATGATGGCACTACAATATGTCCTATGTGTACACATCAGACCCACCAAATCCTTCATTAGTGTTCTAGACCCCTCACTGCTATGAGCACATTTGCTAGTAATGTAAACTATATAGATATATCCTTATACTATAATCTATATGATGTTAAGAGTCTCTGTAGATGCTTTCTGTAGCCTGCATTTGAGTGCACATAGGGCGGCAAGCATGTAGTGCCACCTAGGGTTACATAGACACCTATTGGGGAGCATTAGAGCCTCATTAGCAGATGGTCAGAGTGGCTGTGTGTTTAATCATGTGCACTTGCCTCTTTCTAGTGATATATTTGAGGTATACCATCTATTGTACAGTGGACTTTTGAGTATAGCATCCTCATTGAATAGAGAGCAATATTCTGAACCCAGTGGTATATAATACTTGATCATTTGATGAATATGCTAGGCCACCAGCGCACATTGCCAATTGTGGCACTAATAGGAATTTATCCAGTCCATATCTTATTACACTGCAACCATATCCTTGATTTTCTTGCACAGATGGATTCTCCTCATCAACAGCTTCCTGGTGATATGTAATATGTCCCATTTGGACAAGCAGAAGCCAAGATATTGACCCTTCTCTGTTTGGAGCCAAACAAGACCAAAGCCAATGGCACGCCCGCGGATTAGCGTCGTCGTGCCACTAGCTTTGGCTTTGTTTGTTTTCAGCCACAGCTCGACATAATGTGCTCATTAATAGACAAGTGTATGGTGTAACATACCACTATTATATATCACCAGAAAGCTGTTGATGAGGAGAATGCAATGGGGATGTTTGTATAGCATTATGAGCACATATGGGAGTGCTACAAGCCAACCAACCCACCATAAGTGACTCTGGGTCACAATCTGTCACTAATGGGGATCAATGTGGGTCTAGGTCAGTGTTTTCCCAGGCATAATGTCAAGTATTATATACTGTCAGGTTCGGAAAATTGAGCTCTACACAATGGGGTTGTTTGTAGGTCAATAGAAGGCCAATTGAAGGCATAAATTGGAGTAAAAGGATGTTCAGGTCC